AGAAAAGGAGCAGCTGTTGCTCGAAATCCGGAATGAAAGTTTGCTTTATGCCTGGCATCGGGAAGTCCTGTTGGGTGTGCACAAAGCAAATGCGGGAGCTTCGTCTAGTGCGGTAGCTGGAGGTAGTGACGGAGCAGGAGGTGTGGCAGTTTCGGGCACTGGAACTGCTGGTGGAGGTACAACCGCCGAAGCCGTTGGATGTAATGCCACCCAGCAACAAGCAGGATATCTTCGTCGCTTCGCGGGATGGCTGACCCGCGCCGGTGGACGCGAGGATGCTGCTGCGAGATCACCACAAAATCAACAAATGTCTGCGAATAATGCCTCCTCTTCCGGCTCCGGATCCGAGGATACTGGTCTTGAAGGTGGAACTGCGAGTGCTGCTTCAACTCCTGAATCGGAACAACTAGAGAGTGAGAATCCGCAAGATGACATGACGGCATCACAACAGCCCACAGCAGACGAGGCAGCAGAAGAAGCCGAAGTCGAGCGGGAACTAGAGGCCCAAATTGCGTCAATAGGACGTGAGATCGACAAGGAAGGAACGCGCATTCGCAGAGAGACGACAGAAGGGCAACCAGCACACTTCCAGATCGATCTGTTGCTTACTGGTGCTATCTTGAAGCTGAAGCACGACCCTCTAGGTCCAGGTCGACCTGGGATGGAGTTTTCAGGGAGTCTGCAGGACCTGCGACTTCAGTACAGTAACCGCGGTATGTCGGAGGAAATGGCGACCCGCAGGGTTGAGGAAAAGCTTGAGAAGTCGTCAGGAAGAGTACCTCGAGCAAGTCCGGTTGTAGCTACTGGAGCGGTTATCGCTAGCCCTTCTCTTCGTGAAGTAAACTCTTCAACTTCCACGCGCAAAGCCCTCGTAAACCAATTTCGAGCTTGTCCGTCAGCAACATTGTCAATGGGGGATAAATACGACGCTGACGGTCATGTAGTAGACGAGGACGACGATGCTGACGTAGAGGCAGCAGAGATGCTAAGACGCGACGTCGCTGGCCTAAAAAAACAAGCCTCAGAGAAGACCCTGCATCAACAGATTGCCGCTGTTTTTGCGGAGTTAGCAGGGGAACGCGGCGTCTCGGCCGAAGAGCGCCGTGCTATGCTGCAGCGCAAATGCGGTGAACTCCAGAGCGTCTGTCTGGTCGAGTTAGGCGACGTCAGGGTAACGCTCAGGGGCGAAGATCGGCAGACAGGCAGACTCGAGGAACGTGATCTCGTTTATCGTGCTCGCTCAGTCCTAGAAACTACTTCTGGGTCTTCGAAAGTACCACAAGAGGAACGGCAGCAGCTCGTAGTCCCCATTGCACGAAGGTCAGGAGACGTGCCTACTTCAACAAATACGGTTGCTCCAGTCTCTGCGGGAGGTTCTACTTCTATCTCGTCTGCACTACCAACCTCTACAGAATCGAACTTCCAACCACCACCACGAACGTCCTCTGATGACAGTAAGACCGCCACTGCTTTAACGGGTGCAGCCGTGGCAGCTTTGCCTGCGCTCTCGGGAAAGGTCGGCGCTTCTGGTAGAAAGTCTTCCTCTAGCGCGGCTGATGAGGAGGATGCTGATAGTTTCGCGTCGTTCAATGGTGCTTCAGATGGTGAGGAGGTAGATGCTGATGATGCCGGTCCCTCAACAAACGCTCCTTTGACACAGCCAGCAACGACCTCGTCAGCACAACTATCTGCCCAACACCTGGCGAGACCCTTGAGTCTTTATGTGCCACCAGAAAAACGCCCAGTCTTGCTTGGCAGAAAGGTCACTTCAGCGCTACTTGTTGTGGAGTTTTGTGATTCTGCCACAGTCGAAGGCGATGAAGACTCGTCTTGTTCAGCTGGTTGTAAATCGGGCGCAACGGGTTCTAGTGCAAAAAAGCAAGCGCCGCCACGACTAGACATCGTTGGCGAAAACGTGGTTATCGATTACCAACGTCGATACTTCAGCAAGGTTGGAGATTTTTTTCGCCCACTGGCACCAGAGTACCAGGCGTTAGTGCAGATTTTACCCGGCACGACTACCGCTACAGCCGACCTCCAAGACGCAGCATCGCCAGCATCTCAACCAGACACCGACGTGGACGACACTGCTGACCCCGCGTTCGATATGCGGAGTCAGACTGGCTCAGAAGCTTCAGATTACAGACGAGGGTCGCGCTCTTTGCTAGGAACGCCACGCGACGACTATGCGCAGATGCTTCGCAAAGTCAGCCGCAGGCCTTCTGCAGCGAGCACATTGGAGATAGCGATGGCGACCAACGCAGATCTACAAGATCAGAGTCAGCACCAGCAAGCACCGACTGCCGCTACGTCCAGTAGAATGCAATGGAGAAGTAGGCTAAAAGCCGCAACTGAACGGGGCATGGACGTGATTGTCAAGCTCGATGCGCCCACATTGTTATTACCTACGAAATTTACGCTCGACCCTTCCAAACCGACCCTCGCGCTCCATCTAGGTGTTCTCAAGATCAACTCACTCGGAAGCATCAAAGATTTGGTAACGGCTGACGAAGGCAAAGAGCGGAAAGATCGGTACACGGCAGAAGAACGCGCTTCAGTCGAGACTTTAAGGTCTCATTTTCAGAACGACATCTCATCGGCGGAAAGGTATGCGTTGACACTTGAACACGTCCACGCGGCACGATTGAAGAGCACTGAGAGTGCACATATTGCGGCGTTTCTAAGACGAACGGACAGCACAGTTGGTGTTGGAAATGACCGAAGAGATGTTGATACTAGTAAAGATACTGCAGGTGCGGACAGTAGTGTCGACCTGAATCAAGGAGACGATAACTGTATCCAATATCTACTGGAGGATGTTTCCTTGGGCATCAACTTGGACATTTGCAAGTACAGGTCAACTACTTCCTCTACTACTTCTGCAAAAAAGGAGGAACCTAGTAGAGGTGCAGGCGCATTTGTTTCCTCGACGTCCAAAGACACTAAGAGGCAAAATAAACTGGGTTCTGCAGCCCGGTTATCTGGAGGAAAGGACGCAACTTCAACCACAGTGGAAGAACTCTCCGTCACCCACATTAGCGGGGAACTTCCGGAATTTCTGCTTTATCTCGACCGCAGTTGCTACGACACTGTCGTCGAGTCGCTCAGACTTGCGACTACCACCTACGAGTACACGGACACTGGCTTCCGGAACGTGTCCCAGGGTCAGGGTCGCGACTGGTGCGAGGAACATCTGAACGATCGAGAGTCTCTACTTCTCGACCTTAGCGTCCGACAATTAGGCGTGCAGATTCACGAAGCGTACATAAAACCAGACTTCTGCAACAACATGAGTCCTACGGTCGCCTTCGCGCACAGTGCGCCGGGAACGGTTCCTGCGGTGGATGAGTTGCTAAGGCAGATTTACGGCGCCGACGCACCAGAGGACTTTGGATCGGGGGGTAGTGGCGCGCATCCAAACGAAGCTCGTGCTACTTCCAGGGTGAGAAGTAAAAACGCTGGCTCTACTACTGGTTCGGGTACTTCTATGCCGTCTAGTCCTGGGCGAGTTGCTGACCCCAGCACATCAGTATCCGACTATCTCGAACTAGTTGCGGAAGAAGCTAGACTCCGAATAGAGTCGCAGTCTATCCTGACGCGGATCGCACTGGACCTCGAGAGTGTCAGTATTCATCGACCAAACGCACTGGATCCGTTTTTAGATAGGCAAGTTCTTGTGACGGGCAGCGAACCTTTGCGACCACCTGATCCTCCGAGAAGTGAGGAGCTTGAAGTTTATCAGCGCTACGAGCATGCTATTGCACACGCAGTCCATGAGCAACGACTTCTGTATGGACCAGGAGGAGGCGATGTTGGTAGTGGTAAAGGAGGACGGACGAAATTCTACGAACCCCAGCATCATTATACTCACAGTCCTCCAGGCGCCTCTACTTTAAGGGTTTCCGAATTACATCCCTCACTACCATCCTTGGCTCCTTTTCAAGGGGAAAATAGGTCAAGGATGTTCTGAAGAATGCAACCCGGAAACCTCGAACTACTAGTCCACAGCGACCACCTGGCCAGAATGCCAATGCATGTGGTGCTGGGCCCAATAGTTCCAAGAAGTATCTTCGATCACCGCTTTCTCGAGCGAGCCCTGAGCATAGACGCGATAATAATAGAAGTCCTCTTCATCCAGCATCAAAGTCAAGGCCTGGCGCTGGTGTAGCGACAAACAATAGTAGTTTTTTGACGATCGGCATCAATACTGTCCATGAGAATGCGAGAGAAATCCCAGAGTTACAGCCAAAGTGTCACGGTGCATACTGGCTGGTCGACGTCAATATGGCAGAAGTTCGGCTAAATTTCGAGCAAAAAATCGTCGAGGGATTGCTTGTCTTCCTCAAAGACACACCGCCAGCAGAAGAACCACCTCCGATAGTGGTACAGGAGCCGTTGTTTGTTCCCCAAACCAATTCTGGAGCAGCACCTCCGGCTGGAAAATTTTCCTCCTACAGCAGTGCGACAAATAATCTACCAGCGCATGTTGGTCCTGTTGCTTCTGCAACCCTCGCCCGCGACAGCTACGCTTCTGCAGGTGCGCCATCGGATAAGGAATCGCCAGGTTTGGAACAAGACGATCACTTGTCAGCGTCTTCGCATGGCGTTTCTGCCTGTTCATCGTCCGCGTCGCCGATCTTACACTCTGCCAATGCAGTTACAACAGCTGACGTGGTCCCACCGATAGATGCGTTTGCTTCTGCAGCAGCTATTCCGATCAACGTTCCTGCCGCAGATCATTCTGCAAACGCTGCTTCTGCCCCCTCAACAAGCAAGGACGACGCTACTTCTGCGACAACATCTAGCATGCCCTCTCGTTCTCCACCTGTTTCACCATCTGGGAAAAAGCCTACGGGTTTAAAGTACAAGCTGCAGTTCCGCAGCAAGTTCTTAGAGTTGAGGTGGTTGGAGAACATCCGCGCTGCTCGGTGGAACATAATGGAGACGCACTACTTTGCCCATTCGACCTGTCAAGATTCGACTTTTGACCTCTTCCTCTACGAAGAACGCACGACTTTCGACGCAAAGTTCGGCAACTTGGAGCTCCAGGATTTGAGTAATGCACGCAGACCTCAGATCCTTGGTGTGAAGAAAGACGCCTCAGCCTCTATTTCTAGTACTGCCAATCATGCCAATGCCTTTGCCAATGCAAACAAGCCTAAAAACGAAGCGCAGGACGTCAAGTACGTTTTCGTCTACATTAAAACCCTTACATGGGAGGACCAGCTTGCTATGGAAAAGGCGGGGAAAAACAACCCTTTAGACCTTGCCTACTTGATCAAACTAAATTTCGACCAACCAGAGCTGTTCTTTTTGAAAGAGAAGTTTATGCGATGCTGGAGGTGGGTCATGTGCGGCTTAGTCACTGCGGTGACCGCAGGTCCAGAAGCAAGGCCACTGCCACCTGGAGGTGGATTGACGACGTCGCCCTCTGTCGTGGGAGTCGCTGGACAACAAGTAGGACTTCATCGTCTCCACTCACCACTGGAGGAAAACTCCACTCGTCACAGACTCAACGATCCCCAATCCCTGAACAGCTTAGACCGCAGCACTGCAGGTGGAGGCGGTAATTTTGTTACAACCACACCAGCACCACGAGGTGGACGTGGAGGCGCCACAAGAGATAATATTAGGGACGAACTTATGGGAACACAACAATTAGGTGCCAGTACTGGAACTAGTCTATTGCAGTCTGCGAAGAGTCAAAGGGACCCTCCGGATACACTGCTAAGATCAGCCGATACAGCAGTCTTGTACAACGTGAACACTCGGCGTCCCTCATTGGACGGCAATTTTGAGTTGCCGAGCGATCCCTTGGAAAGGCTGTTGCAGGAGCTGAGGACAGAACAACGAGCAGCTCTTCTTGGAGCTAGTGCTACAACTGGATTGGGAGCAGATGAGTCTACTAGCGCAATAACTTCAAATAGAAAAAACGCCGCTGGTTACTTGGGGGACGAGTACATGATAGACCATTTTCCAAGGTCCTACGATCTCCAGGTTTCTGTTTCCAAACCGTCCATCTTTTTGCCGGCTAGTATCGACGCAACTGGAGACAGCATCGAGCTCTTTACAGACAAGGACTTGAAAATCACGAACAGAGCAGTGTACATCGAAAACGCCAGCGATTTGTGCGCGTCAAATAGCAAGATGGTCTACGTACCGGAGAGAAACTGCTACGCACATGCGGAGGAGGTAGCTTCTAGCTCATCTACTCAAACTCAACAAGATAGAGAATCGCAATGGCAATCTTCAAAGATGAACTCAACAAGTCCACCATCGAGAAGCCCTTTACGTACTCGATTGGCCAAGAAGAAAGCAAGCCACGTTTATCGTGCTGGTTTCGAGAATCCATTTGCCTCGCCAGCTGCTATTAGTCACTTGCTAGACCGCATAGCGGAAACCGATCCGGACCTAATCAGGGAACAACAGGGTGGGATGCTAAACCTGAATAGCACGAGTCTCACAACGCCACCGCATCTGCGCGTAATGAAAGCGTCTCGGCATCTTCTTTTGACCAATCCAAAGTTGTCAGAAGCTGAGCGTGCTGCTGCGCCCCCTTTAGCACGTCGAGAACGCCTGAACAACCATGGTTGGCACGATAGGTTGCTGGTCGAAGGAAGGGACATCATGCTAAGGCGTTTGCACAGCTCTGGCGTCCAAAACCTCCTAGAGAAACCCATCGAACTCAAAGTCGAATTCGTGCGTGGCATAGAGGACTACGCTAGGCTAAAGTTTCTCTACCACCTGTTGTTGAATAACGGGTTTCGAGAGCAAAGTAGTGATCCCACGGTAGACAATCCTGGTGTAGTTAGTGGACTGCAATCGAGTGGCGTTGGAGGACAACAGCAAACAGCTGCTGTTGTAGACCGGCGCCTCCTCGTCTTCGAGTACATCCCTTGGAGTTACAAGATCCGCGTCGGCTTTTCTCCTGTCGCCATCCTTCTCAACTTACGCGAGTGGAACTTCGTGAAACGCGTTTTCTTCGACAACATTGTTGCCGCGGACAACGACGTCAAAGTTCGTGAAAGCCGCTATGTGCGAGACGTGCAGGACGTTTTTGAGCGCGTCGCGTATAGACGGTACATGGAAATGTGCTTCGATTTCGAAACAGTGCGCTTGGCGTTGAACATGGACGGATCAACGGCCGACGACTTCGATGCTGCGGAGTTCGAATCAGTTTTGAGAAGGGACTTGCCAGAGCCTTTAGCTGAGAGTTTGTTTGGTCGAGGGGGTCCGAAATCAGCGGATGACGAACAAACAGCCACACAACTGCGGGAACGAGCTGCAACTGGTGTCACAGGACACAGAAGATCAGGATACTCATCTACAACCACAGAAGACTACCTCGGTTCGAAGAATTCCGGAATGCCGTCATCGATGTTTTCAGGTTATGGCGCGGAAGACACTGACACAGCACAAAAATCCTTTGCCCCGACAGCGATTAGTGTCACCGCACAGCGGATTCAACTGGCGTTGACGAAGTACGTCGGCAGTCAGACAGAGTTCATTCTCAAGCTGAAGGATGCTAGAATCCAGCACCAGCCTGCGATTGATGCGCCTTTCGGAGGTTTGGTGTTATTCCGAGAACCTGGAACATCAAGGTCGTCGTCGAACAACAGTTCTAACATCAAAACTGTTGAAGAAGAAATCGAGATGCGATTTGAGTACACCCGTTTGATACCACAAGAGGACCTCGATTACTGCACGCCTCAGCTAGTCCGAATATACCGAGAAGAACGGGGTCTAGCGCCATCAGCTTCCAGTCCTGGTGAGTCGCCATCCAAGCCTCTACCAGTCGGCGTCAGCAACTTCGTTGAGAATTACAAGAATCCTCAAGCCGCCTTGCTGTCTAAAGATCGTGCAACATCGTTGCAATTGCTGAATCTAGGACTACCTGCTGTGCCTCTTTCTCCACGACAGGGAAAGCAAGAATTCATGGAGGACCATGACCTTGCATCTGTGCCATCAGAGGGCGCGCCACCTGCGAGATTCGACTTTGGAACTGTACCTGACGAAGTCGTCCAGGATTATGACTTGGATGACGCGGAAAGTTTCAACCGTGCTGCTTCTAGTCGGTCCCCAGCTTGTCGGAGGGGTGGTGGTCCTGGCGGTGATGACGACTTCCTGCCGAACGTGAGGGCGTCTGCGGCGGAAAGGAGTAGAGACGTAGTGCCACCACTTGGAGAGAGAAATAGAGCAGATGATTATGTTGGCACCACGACTGCTGCTCTAGTTCATCTTGATGGAACTCAGCCACGCGTTTTCCCGAGTCGCAACATAGAGCCACCGACTCCCGAGCTTCGAGCTGAGGAGTGGCTCAATGAAAACTTGCCGATTTCTCACTACACAGACGCAACAATTACTATGGACTTCCACGTTTTCGAACCACGTGTGGTGCCGAACGCTGTGGTTCTGTTTTTGTTGTACAAGTTCTTCTGGCTAGAAGAGGATCCAAATCAGATCTATGGCGGTCTTGCGGCAAGCACAAACGCTGGAGGTGGCGCAGATGTAGACTCAATTACAGTTGTTAACCAAGGTGGTCCACTCAGTTTGCTTGCATCACCTGGGGCAGCGTTGAGTGTTTTCGATGTTGGCGACCACGCTGCCATTGGAGCAACTGCGAAGGTTGAGCAAGCGTCTTCCAATACAGCATCACAGCCCGCTGCACCTTCAGCCTCCAGTTCCGCAAGTTCAGGCATATCTTCTTCTGCTCAAGGAAGCTTTCATCTTGGACAAAGTGGCGGCACGACGACCATGGGCGGAAACAACTATGAGGATCCAACAGGTGGAAGTGACCTTGAGCCTCCAGTGGTGGCGCCAGTCTTTGGCGAAGGAACGAGTACTCATATGGAAAAAGCGAACATGTCTGCTGCAGCACTCGTGCATGGCGGACAGAATTTGACAGCCGATGCCTTCAGATGGCAACTAGGTCCAACTTCTTCTATCCCAGGACCAGGAGCTGGAGCGCCATGGTCTTTCCCACTCTCCAGAATGCATCTCGCGCCAAGCAAAGACTCACAAGCAAGCACAGTTGCGTCGAATTTGAGTACTATGTCCTCTAGATCGAGTGCGAGTGGACTCGGAGGGGGTGCGTCTGGAGGTACGACTGGCGCTGTTGTCATTCAACAACAGCGCAAAGAACTCATGGAGAAACTCACAACCACAGCTTCAGAACTCAAAGTTTCTTGGCGAGGGTGGAGAAAACAGCAGGCGCGGGAATGGGAGATTAGTACGCCAGACGAGATCGACATGATGACGAACGAAGATTTCTTGGAGCATTTCACAGATCGCCGCCAATACCATGCTTTTTGGAGAGCTAACCCCAGTCGTGGATCATCTGGTGGAAAAAACGACAGTGCTGGAGAGGACGATATGGATGTTGGTAGTCGGGAGATTTTAGGTGAGAGAATTCCAGCACACGCTGCACGGTTTTCGACATCGGACCTTGTGGCTGGGAACCGACGTGCTGTAAAACAGACCTACGCAGCGGATGAAGTGCGCGGCGACGAGCGTCGCGGCAGTCGCGGATCTGACAGTAGTAGGGGTAGCAAAGACCTACCTCTAGGTGAATTCCAGGACCCTGAACAAGACCCCAATAGCGCCGCTACTGGTAGCAAGGATCGCGGCTCGTCAAAGAACGCGAATATCAAGGAACGAGTTCAAAAATTGACTCGTGGCGGGAAAGTCGAGATTCGCATAGTCTTGCAGAATCCTTCGGTTGTTTTTCCCACAGCCTACTCAGCGGACAACGCGAATTATCTCGTTGTAAAGCTCAAGACAGCAGATATACGGTTAGAAACGTGCCCTGACCGCGCAACAGAGAGCATCGACATGATGGCAAAACGCATGTGCGATTTTGTAGATCAGTTGCTTTTCTGCGTTAGCAGGCTTGGGCTGATCTGCAACGATGAGGATCATCAAGATGGTGTGCTAGGTCATGGGGTTGAAGATCATGCTGATCACATGGGACAACAATTGCATCCTACACGTGAGCAGGTAGGAGGAGCTATTTCATCCTCTACAACGGGTACTACTTCTTCTTCTAGAGGACGGAACAATAAGCAGCCGTATGTGAAGGACGCCGATGCACTTGCACGTCTGCAACGTTTGGCGCCAGAGTTTTTAGCCAATGTCCTACATCCCAATAGAACCGGCGCCAAGGTAGACGAATTCACTGTCTCTCGAGACCGCATTCGTTGTCTTGAGTTGCTTTTGAAAACAGTGAGCCAGGAGCAAGTGCGCGCGTGGATTGAGCAACCCGAAGATTTCTTGATAGCTCTAGCTGAGTACAACTACAACAACAAGAAACTTGTACAAGAGGAAGAACAGCAGACGCTTCGCGGTCAGCAGGGTGACAAGATGAAAGGCCACCAAGACCCATTCCAGAGTCATGACAACTTTAGGAGTACTTCGAAAGGGGTGCCTTCACCTGACGATGTTACAAATGAACAGGAGTACATCGAAGCGGAGAGGCAGATTTTGCTACTGCAGACTCTTGCAGAGGACTTGCCAAGAGTAGGGTATCATTTTGCGGGTTTTTTGAAATTCTGGACCAAACTGAAAGCCAGTCCAAGCCTTTGGGGAAACGTCACTCGCAAAAGGCGCCAGTGGTTCGGCATCGCGGATGGTGGTATCGTTTTGCAGAGGTACTTAGCTAGTGGTAACGATTTGATGCCGCAGGGTGAATCAACACAAGTAGTGTCCCCTTCTAAAGATGCAAATGCCTCTTATAGAGGTCATGGACTTCTTGGAGAGAAAAGACCACCAGCTGGAAACAGTACAACGACAGCACCACCAGTTCCTAATGATCCAGCTGGCATTGTTCGAGGGTCGTCTTCTCGTAATGCGGCAGCACGCAATACCGCCGGAGGACTCATCTACAATCAGCAAAGCAAGGACGTCGGCAGCAACATCTTGGAAGAGTTCGAATTGTTTTTCGGTACCGTTGAGGAAACTCAGCGTGGCTTCAATGTGGACCTTTTCAACGGCTCCATTCCTCCGAAGAGTGGCGGGTCCGGGCTCAAAGACGTCCGTGATTCCGAATCTCGTATGCTTTTGGATAATGTCCAGCAATTTCTTGCTACCGAAGAGGGCCGCGATCATCAAAGTTACCTCTTCTTCAGACACAAGCACACGCTGTCAAGGCTTAGCAACCTGCATTTGAAGATCAGTTACGAAGACTTGCGCTGCATCATGCACTGCGTGAGATGGCAGCAACAGAGTCTCCAGCGTCTGTGGGACTTGGAAACTGTTGTCGTGCCACCAGAACCGAAACTGGTGAGCAATCGCATCATTGTTGGAGGACAGCCAAGTATGTCTCCAACAGCGCGGAGAAATGGCGGTCGTGTAGGAAGTGCTAACGATCAAAGCAGCATGGGTCTGAGTGCTAGGCCAGGCGGAGTCACAGGCACTACTGGCACTGCACAAACAGATGCACACGCGCGCCAAGTTGTGGATCAACAGCAACCTTCTAGTCCTTCTGGCCTGAGTGCCACTATTCCTGTTGACCAGTACAGGTCTTGGGATTTGCGATGTCGCGGAGCCTCACTGGAACTGTTGAATGATGTGGGTCAGGATGTCGCTTACCCGTTTTTTCGATTGGAGCTCACGCGCTTTCGCGGTGTGTCAGAGCATATGTCCTTTTTTGATCGCTCTTTGTTCAAAAGTAGGACTGTCTTAAGAACAAATCGAGATATGTTCGGAGACTTGTACGCGGAATACTTCAATCCCATCGCTGTGTGCTACGAACCTCTGCTAGAAGGGTTGGATGTCTTTCGGGACAAAAGACGCACAGGCGACGGACAAAAGCGCTATAGTGAAGACGCGATCTTGCAGCAAGTATGGTCTAAGCAGCGAAATAACGAAACCCATGCTGTGGCTGTGGGACGAGCGCAGGTGTTACGGTCATCCTCTACTAGAGTTGGAGGAGAGTCTTCAACCACTGCGAGTGGACCTACTAGGTCCTCTACAACAAGTCCAAGTGGTACGAATGGCAGTGTTGTCACAGGCGCGCGGTCATCATCTCTAGGTCATAAAGGTGAGGGGGATGGCAATGGGCCTGCCAATCGAACCTTGCGCGATTTGATGGCACAGCGAGGCAGAGATGTCGCAGACATGCTCGATGAGGCTGGGGCTGGCCAGTGGATTGACGACACAGCTTCCCTCGAGACTAGTTCATCACTCAGTGCTGACTTAATTTCTGACACGGACTCGACCTATTCTCTGGCTTCTGATATGTCCACCGCGTCAACGAGTACATTGGCGACGATTAACCGCAAGACCAAGAACAAAAATAGGCATAAGGCGTTGGAGAGTTTCCGCCGGAAGATGAGGAACCGCCTAGGTCGTGGCGGACGTCCGCAAGAGAAACCGTCAGCGACTGGTGTCCTCGATGACGACGAGGAAGACGAGTACGCGGCAGCTCGTATTGGTGAGGCGTCGGCGCCTTCTATTCGATGCGTTTTCCGACATGAATTCGGCGACTTCGTAAAAAGTGATGCGAGGATGTATTTGCTGGACGATTTTGATGACAGTGAAGATGGCGACGTCGTTGTCGGACGAGGTGGCCCACAACCATCATCCACTGCTGGCCCGATCTCCACAACCTCATCTGCAACTACAGGTGCTACAGCAACAGAGACGAAGATCAACACAACTGCCGCGGCGGCTCGCAACGGCTCACGAGGAGGAAAGGATATGAAAACAGCAGTTCCGTCATCTTCAACAACTGCGGTCGCGCGTATGCGCCAGCGCATCGACAACTCCCTACACGATGACGGCAAATATGAGGCTCTAGTCCTCAACATCATAGACCAGATCGGCCTCAACGTGACCGAAACGCTTGCAGATGTGCTTCTCAGCAATATTCGCGAGTGGGTAACAGATTTCAACAAGTCGGACTTGGATAAGAGCTTCGTGAATGAAGGCATGGAGCTTTTATTGCGGAGCTACGTCGTCAGACGTGCGCTTGTGAGTACTCATTTCCAAAGGACGCTGCTAAGACGAATAGCGTCGAGCATGTCTCTCAACATCTGTCCGAACAGTCTCCAGCAAGGTGCTGGGTTCAGCGGCTCTTTTACAAGTTGTCAAGCACCATCAGGCTCATCTGCGGCCGACCTGACTCTACTACCCGACGACCACACGGATCCAACGTCCAAAAAGCAGGGCCATGGTCCTCTCGCAGAAGTTGTTTCGCTGTTCCCCACATGCTCACGTCTACAATCAACTCTAGAGCCTGCCGACATCACCAACACGCTGTCCAAGCTTCCTACACCTGCGGAAACGCCCTTCTGGTCTGCTCGGCAGTTGAAAACTGTCGATCGCGTACCCATCGCGCCTTACTCGTTAGAGAATATGAAAGGAAGCCGCGACTTGAAAGTGTTGGTGGAAACCAAGATCAAAAAGTCCTCTAGTTGTACAACGCCGCTCGATGTGATGGGGCGAACAGGTGGCGCTGATCCTACTACAGGTTCAACATTTTTAGGCGGTCCCAGTGTTCCGCATCTCGAATCTACAACAGCCTCGGGCTATCAGTCTGGAGGTGAACAAACGGAAACGCCTTCAGCATCTTCAACAAGTAGACTGTTGCCTCCGCACTTGCGACAAACAGCGCGTCTGACAAAGGGCGGCAAGAAACTAGTGACTGTCGTCTCCGGTGAGGACGCACGTCTGCGAGACTTGACGATAGCAGCAGCTTCAGCGACGCGAGCGCTGGACTCCGAAAGCGTCTCTGCACATATCGATCTGTCTGTCGATGGGTGGGAACTCAAAGGCCTAAATTTAGCAAGAACTGGCGTCCATTGCTACCAGATGGAACGCGACCCAGAATGGCGAGCACCATTACGCGCAGAGGATTTCTATTTCGCCAGTGAAGAAGAACTTCTAGCTGCGCGTGAAGCCATCGCGAGAGACCCCACCTGTCAAACTGCCGAAGACGTGATCGCACATCTAAAGCAGCGACACTTAGATAAAGCGGGAAGTTTGTACTCACCAAGACAACCGCACACACCTTATGAGCCGGTGATGATCCCAAGAGCAAAATCGGGAGAGACGGACTTAGACGTCTTGGCACAAGGGTTTGCTGGAAACGCTGCCGATTTCGAGCCTAACGATACACCATTGCAGGTTGTGTGTCGAGGAATCCAGGAGGAAGTGCGAAAATTATGCGTGGTGCAATCAACTGTTTTGATCAAAAACAGCTTTGCGCGCACACCTTTGCTAGTGGAAATCGAAAGTCCGGATCCAGACCATAGACCACATTGGGAATCGTATGCGAGGTTTATCGGTCTTCGCGCAGGAGGAGCCAGTGGCAGCGTTACCATGAACAACAGCGACGGCCGAACTCCATCGTCGTCTTCCCGTAGCAAGATGAATACCCAAACTTCCTTCGTCGGCTCACAGCGCCGATGTGACTACGTCGTCTGCCAGCCTGAAGAGGAAGTTTCTGTTCCATTAGACGCCTGTCGCAGTGGGGTCCTTCGCGTTGCGCCATTAGTGGAGCATGGCGGTTGCTTAGCCCGTTTGGAGGAAATCGTGATGCAGTGTGCGTCAGAGGAAGCTGAGCATATAGCAATGGCAGAAGCAGAGGCGCAAGAAATGATGCGTCGCCATCTTCAGGGCAGCTCTGAAAATACCGGAACAAGTGAAGATAGAAGAAGAAACATTTCCCAGGCATTTCCTTCTCAAGCTCCAGCGGGGACTGTGCCGCGAAGCAGAACCGGTGAAGAGGGAGATGAAAGAGCAAATAGTGCAACGACAAGCGGCATATCATCATCCAGTGTTGGAGTCGCTTCTGCGTTGTTCACCCCGACTAGCGAAGAACTCGCCAGAGAGCTCCGCGAGTTCTCCACAGGTCGACGAATTTTCTTAGACCGCGTTTGGTCTTTCGCCGAAGTCCATGACCGCTTTGAATTCCCGAAGGAAGAGGTAGCGACATTTTTACACTATACGACAGGAGGAGGACGCTATGGGGGTAATGCTAGTGACAACCAGAATAACCGCGGTGGGAGGAGTGGAGATGATGCAACTCCTACTTATCCAACTTCTGGCCCTCAGAAAAACGCAGCTTTTTCTCAAGGGTCAGTAACGCCTTCTCGACCCAGTGGCGATGTGGATCTACAACTAGCTGCTGACTCTTCATCGCCGTCTTCTAGCTCCAGCACGACTTCAACGTCAGAAGATGAAGCTAGCCCACAAGCACAAGGTGGCGCCAGCACTGGGAGATCATCAGGGCGAACGACTAAAATGTCGCAGTTCTACATGTACGCTAGTGTTTCTTGCGAGCGCTTGCCTCTCTTCAAGACCCAACAGCAGAGAATGCGGAGCTCTCAGCCAGGTCTGAATAGTGGAAGAGGTGGCTTCCAGCAGCAAGGTCGTGGAGGTGGACGAGGTGGACCTTCATCACGTTCAAGGCGTGGCACGTCAGGAGCAGACCAGTCTAGTTCTAGAGGCGCTGCCGGACAGGATTTCATTACGCAGTGCGTGATTTGCTTCCAGCCTCCGATTCAACTGAGGACGAATTTGCCTTTCCCGATAGCGTACGAGATTCATTCTGGTGCAGATGCTTTGGATGGGGGTAGTTCCAGTAGGGCAGGTGGGAGCACAGCATCCGGCAGTAGAAGAAGTGGTAGGAATGCTGGTGGAAGCGGGTGGTCTTTTTTTGGTGGCGGCTCATCATCAAGTCGTCGCGCAAGGCGGCCGCCCTCTGGCGCTCCCAGTAGTAACGAGGTGTGCTCGGGTCAGCTCAGGCTGAACGAGCGGCAAGACGTGCACCAAGTGTCGCTTGACAAGGGAACGCTGACGATGACACTGTGCATGTACGCAACCGAGTGGATGCAGACTCCTGTTGAGATTTACCGACCGGCTTTTATAGCGCCACAAGGTGAGACGTGGAATCGCGGTCGCGACAGTGGGCTCAGCTATTACCGAGAAGGCATTCAAGAGCCGCAATTCCAGAGACGGACCATAGCAGAACAAGGCGGCGGTCGAGCCGGCGGCAGCTACACGAGTGGCGGCACTAGTCGATCTGTTGCAGCTACGAACTCAGAGCATGTTCCAGTCTTCTGCAATGCTGTTCAAAAACCTGGCGCGACGAATTACAGCCTAGCAACTGCTGGCTTCAAACAGGGTGGCCAAAAAGCGGGGAAGAACAAGATGACAGGTAGCAAAGGCACAGGTGGAGGAGCCGGTGGTGGCAATAGTGCCACTGCGGCTGCAGCGGGGGACGATTTAGAGTACGACAGACTGAAGTTCGCACTATCGGACCCATTTGGACAGCAAACAAACCTCTGGGTAGAGTTCCAGAACCGGAGCGACGGCGTTTTGGACATCATCCTCTACACCGACTTAGTTCTATGCAACTATTTACCCCTGAACGTTGCAAAGAGCTTGCGTTTCCTCTATTTCGACCGTCGAGGCGTGGACGTGCAGAGCTCAGACTACGGCTGGGGCGATTGGTTTGACGACACTTTGCTCGAGCATCATCAGTCCCATTACGTAGCGGATCAGTCGCCGCTGATCATCGACTTAGTCAGCAGTGGACGATCTCAGCAAGCTTCTGCGTCTGCGGTAGGAGGGGCTGGGAAACAGAATCGTGGGGGCGGGAGGAAGCGGTTTACGGGTATCGCGGACCTAGAAAGGGAGCAGGAAGACCAAAATCTTGCGGCTGCTGGCGTTACTGTTCGGGCATCACAGCCTGTTGTTATACCAATGAGCGGCGAGTCTGGAGCATCTTCGTCCACTACTCCAAAGGGTGCTGCTGCAACTAGTGCCGCAACTACCGTCGAAGCTGCAAATGTAGTAGTTGGCGCTTCCTCCGGCGAACACGCACCTACCAGACGTGTGGCAGAGCTTGCTGAAGAGCTCTTGAGCGTGCAGAAGTGGCGAGGGAACAAGAACAAAAGGCCAAGAATATACGCTGAGGAGAACACACCGAATTTAGCGTATCCACCACTCATACCAATGTCCGAGAACGGCCTCGTCATTCCTCTCGACGAGGTTGCGAAAGGCCGACCTCTGAGGCCAGGTGATTCGACTATGCTAACGCAAGCTGCATTCGAGGAGACGCAAAAGTGTCTCAATCGCAACCGCTTGCCTGGTGACGACGGTACTGATCGCGCTGTCACTTTCACTCTCACACTGAAGGAATTACGAGATCGGCAATTGATTCCGACAGACGCAGGTCTAAAACTCTGGATTTCGCCATCTGCACAGGCAGCACGTGAACGCTACGCCTGCTTACCATCTGAACACATTTGCACCCCGTTTTTGCGTACTGAGCCGTCTTATTTCCCATTGGACTGCGAGACCCAGTCTCTACAAGCAGTATTCGGCGACCGCTTCATGAGCGCCATCGATTTTCGGATCGAAGGTCTGGACAACATCGGCAATAAGGGCCAAGTGGAGATCGATATCGATCGGAAAGAGTCCTTCATGTGGCGCGATTTTCATAAGTACACGTCAACTATCCTCCGCGAAGAGTGTCCCGAAGAGCCTGCGCATTTATTTCCAGTCGACACAGACGAAGCGCAGTTAGACGCGAAGACTGAAAAAGTGATGTTCTGCTACAAGATCACGCAAACGCATAATTTGGATCGAAGTTTGCCGCCTTTACGGTGCATTAACATTGTGCCTGTGGTCGTTTTCGTGAACGAGATGCCGGAGCCTGTTTTTGTAAGGCAAGCTGACAATGTGTCGGCAATTTCCTACGATAAGCGAGACCAGCATTGTAAAGACGTGCGACGCGTGATGCAGTTTAATCTGCCGGAATCCGTCGTGCCGCCCAATGGGGTACTTACCGATCCAAATTGATCTGGACTTTATTTTATTACTCATGTTCCTTCTCCTTCTGGTTCTGCTTTTCCCTGTGCAAGTCTTCGCGCATCAAAGCTTTCTCCAGTTGGGGGAGCCATGATGAACTAACGCAAATGTCATCAGCATCTGTTTACGACGTTTTTCTTGATGATCAATTTTTATCTCAGGGCACTCTCCCGCTCGTCCGCTGGTCTGTCTTCGGCAAGTACGGTATAGAGATCCGCTACAAGGACTATTCCTACTCCGGAACGATTCCCTGTATGAATACTGGAGAGTATCACCTCGTGCTCTTCGACAACAAGTGGCAGGTCAACCGAGACGGATTCATCACGCAAGTCCCTTGTTCCTACGTCACCTGCTGTGTTGAAGTCCTCGAGAACATGGATCAGGGCATCATGTACATGACCATGCACGGACATTATAGCGAAGACTACAAAAAAGACAGCAAACTGCAGAAGAAACAAGACGCGGCAGCTAGTGAGGGCACGCCATCAAAAAATAATCAGCTTTCTTCTACTCGTACTGCTAGTGGAACTTTATCGGGTGGAGGTGGAGTTGGCAGCTCTAGCACTTTGAAAACTGGAGAAGATGTTGGTACTTTTACAAGTGGAGGCACCTCCTCGAGAAAGGTCACAGCAGCTTCGTCAAGCTCATCTTCAACAAAAGCTACGCGCAACATCGGCACCGGTCTCCAATTAGTGAACTGCTGTCCGGAGTCGGTGCTTTCTAGGCTGATCATCCGACAAGATTTGGGCGGTTGCCCTAGAGACAATAAGTTCCTGAACAAGCAGACTCTGTACGATGAGCGATTGAAAGTCCTGAACGAGACGCGGAATACGGACCCGATGAATTACAAGGCAAACAAGGACAGACTAACTTAAGGCGGGTTGAGACATTTCATTTCTACTCATGATTTTCTCTCTTGGTATTTCTATCTAGTAGAATCAAACGAAACGCTTCAGCCTCTAACTAATGCGCAAGCACAAAGTAGACCCGAAAAACTTGTGGCAGCTACCCTGGATCTCTGTGCCCTACAACGAAAGTGACCCTCTGTGGTTTGGTTGGTATGAGCCGTCACTAGCAGGCAGGATGGATTTAAGGTTAGGGGACGATCGTGAGACGAAGCAGATTGATTTTAGGAACCAGACGAGCTGCGGATCTATAGTGTTCTCAGATCGAGCGTCTGAGCGAGGTCGTGGCGTGATAAACTGGGAAATGAAAAAGGTTGGGCCTGTCGAGTATTTGATTTTCACTCCTGGAGCGCAACGCCTAAACCTAGCAGGTGCAGGTGGAAGCAGTGGCTTGTCAACATATCGACCGGGTACCGGACAGGCGAGCTATACAACATTGGCTCCATTGGCAACGCGGTCTGGTGCGAGGTCCGTCAGAATTATCTGCAAAGGAGTGGGGATATCAATAGTGGGTAAGACCCGAAGAACCAACCCAGACTGGGCCCAGGACGTCGCGTACGCTTGTCGGCAAGCGTGGGGACGTAGCCACGAGAACTGCCATCACCTTTTGCATACGTTTAAGTGGGACGAATGTCGCGACACTTTGATGAACTACCGACTGGTGAAGAAACAGAGGAAATTGCAAGAAGGCGGCGGTGCAGCGTCGAGCGTGCGTCTCAGCGCCAGTAGTGGTCTTGGAGGTGACGCACAAGGTGTGGGCGGAGCTAGCAATAATATCGGTGGAGCCACCTCACAAGGTATCACGAGCATCAATTCCGTGACTGGCACAACTTACTCGGCCGAAGAGGTAAACAGCGAAATCCTTTTCTTGTATTTAGAAGACATCGCCTTGATTTGGGATTCCTGGCTGACGCACCACGACTACCATGTTCGGCTGAAGGACATGCAGTTGGACACACAGCTCAAAGACGCACTCTTTCCTGTCTGCGTAGCACGGGATCCAACCGAGCAACTCAAAGGTGGTGGCGCAACGGCGGAGCAGGCACATCTTGCGACTATCGCGGAGGAACCAAGAAGCGGTGCTGAACCGCTGTCCCCTTCGGATGCTAGGACATCTTTTGCCCAACACGGCGGTGAAGACGACTACCTGGATAGTGGCCTCCGAGGTCAACATGCGCAAAATCTTAATCCTCAGCTACAATCTTCTTCAGCGTCAGCATCTTCGCAATCTCATAGAAATGACATGATGATGAACATCCATAGAGCAGGAGGAGGAACTTCTGGAATGTCAGCGTCAGCACATCAAATGAGCAGTAGACCACGTGGAGGCCTTCGTGGTGAAGGAAGTGCAGCAGCCTTCGGACAGGATCCTAATACGCCAGGTTCTTCGCCTTCACGCGGCCCTGGCGCATCGTCATCGAGAGCCGGACAATCTTCGAGGAGTGGCCACCCATCTTCCTCTGGCTCGTCTGGTCGTGTAAGGAGTACGCAACAGGCAGATAGAGGCAAGTCCGCAGGCGGTTCGAGTTCAAGCTCATCAACAGACTACATCCTCCGCTTCCAAGCGCGTCATCGGACGACCATTACCGCCCAAAGCTTGGCGAATAACTACGCTGCAGAACGATACGGAAACTACGCCTTACTCTACCTAGACAGGGTAAGACTGACGATCAAGCCCGTGCTGGTAATGTTCGACTTGGCTCTCGTGCAGGTGTTGCTCGGTCTAGGATTCAAGTTCCAAAACGCTTTGGAGGAAGGATTGGGACGACCAGAAAGAGAAACACTGAGTCGGGGTCCTGCAGCAGCGCCGAAAAAAGGCATGCTAGACAAAACAAAACGACTTGTGGCGAAAGCAGTCGCAAGGGATGTGATAGCAGCAAGACAGAAAAAACGTATCTTCCCTATAACTTCTATGAGGAATTCGCGTTGATGTTGTTCTTGTACGTAGTTCCGTTGTGAAGTAATTACTTCGCGAGGCTGTGGCGGTTGTTCCTTTACCACCTGTGTTGCCGTTGTGTAATGATTATTTCTGCATATTATCACTTGGATTCAGTATCACTTGAGTAAAGTCCCACGATGGATGATACAAATCTCACTGGTCGCGTCACTGTTCACTTCGACAGCCCAAAATACTACAGATCGCGCCGACAGCCGTCGCGGGCATCACATGGTTTACGCCGAGTTTTCGGATTTTTTCGGCAAATTAAACTGGGACGAAGGCGTCAGTCGAAGCGACTACTTGAAGCAGAGTAAACTTGTGAAAGTCTTCTTCCAAGATCTGAGGTTCGACAGTGCCCGTCTGAGCGCCTCTTTCGATCCCGGAGACGAGCTCTCGCAGTTTGGCATTCGCAACGCATTTTACAACAAGATTCTGACGACGATGTCCGGGATCGAGTCGTGTCCTTTAGACTTTGAAAAGCTGGCTTTGCGCAGCCACATCGTCCACGGCCACAGCGGTTTGGCTGGTTTCTTCAGAACAGTGGCGGACTTCTACAGGAGTCAGAGTCTGCAACAGTTTAGCAAAATCATGCTTAGTAGCAACGCTTTTGGGAACCCGCAAAACTTCCTGAACTACTTTGGGGATGGCGCGTACGCATTTCTGAAAGAGCCGTATGAAGGCTTTCAGAAGTCAGCGCTCGATGGAATGTTTGGCGTTGGGAAGGGAGCGACGTCATTCTTTCGCAACGTGACAACTGGCCTCGCGGACACAGGCGTCAAACTAATCTCGAACCTGAATCAAGGACTGAGCACAATGGCGTACACAAACCACCCACTTACTTAGGATGAGTTTGCTTCTATCACTATGCATCCACCATATTTAGTAAATGTGAGGACGGGCTTCAGGCTCAGCTTCTTCCTCTTGATATTGAATATCTGCGCGAAATTTATGAGATTCTTCTCGTCTCTTCACGTTCACCATGTTCATGTCGTCCAAACTCCTGTCACGTCAAGTCCTCCTCTACTCCTACAAAAGCAAATCCGCACCATCTACAGGCTCGACCCGCAGTATAATAGTCAAGCAGCGCTACAGCGAAGGCGGTTCCACAACCAAGCCGATGCTTTACAGACGAATGCATCAGCATCAAGTGGTGACAGTGGTTCGGGAGCAACGTCCCTACAAGAACGCAGGGCACAGCACCAAAGCACCAGCCAGCAATCTAACAACTCGTTTGCGATGTTCGAAGGTGTTGGCCGAGGGGCTGAAAGCGTGCTGAAAGGTAAAACTAGAAAACTAGGACATCCACAACAAACTTACATACAGTATGGTGGCAACATATATTCTGAAAGATATTGATGCTCCTACTTGCAAAAAGTCTTCATATTGATACTTCTACCGGCAACCAAGTACAGGGTCAGCAGTGTGCTGCTGTCCTTTATGTCATCCCTCCTTCCAAATCTAGATCTACTTACAGTCTTCTTGAGAGCTGGGTCATGTTCTGAAGACCCACGCAAATGATAAACATACAGGTGTCGCGGAAGGTTTGGTTGGTGTTTTTTCTCAGCCCTATGAGGCCGTGGCTAGTGAGGATCGTTCGGTTGAGCGTTTCCTCGAAGGCACGGGTCGCGGCGTAGCAGGCTTGTTTGCGAAGCCCCTTGTCGGTGTCACTGAGGGCTTCAAGAACGTCCTTGAGGGTATCCGAGATCAAGCCATCGGAAACGATGACACTATCCTGAGGCATCGCGCCTACAGTATTCCTAGGATTCGACTACCGCGAATGCTCTACATGGAGGACCGCGTATTGCGACCATACAGTACAACGGACGCCAGAATCCGACAGTTCCTAGACGAGTGGCTCATGTGCACGGAAGCTCTCTCATTAAGGCTAATTCTGTACATCCACATGGTGCATTCGTCTCAGCGTTTAATTATGGTAGTGCTACCCTTGGCGCCTTTACTAGTTATCTTTCAACTTTACTTGAGGGTTATGTTCTTGAAAAAGGCGCCAAGGAAGGACGCCTCCCGCACGAACAAGGATGCCCACAGACACGCTAGCTCCTCTAATCTCGGTAGCGATTCCCTTCCGTCAGCCACAACCCAGCAGCGCTTTCGCGGAAAAGCTGACCATGTATCTGACCGAGAGGCATATCTTCTTTCGCTGGCACCACAGCGCTCGCCGTGGCGCAAGTCCGAGAGACACAGTAATCCAGTTTGCACCCCATGCAGCATTTATGATGGCTATTCATGACAAGACTGCGGGAGAAGTGTTGCTGTCTTTCGAGTCTCCAGACGACCCCCAAAGTCGCAAGGAACTCACGATTACAGCCTCCGAAGCCGAAACCCAAGCTGCTAGGCGATATTTGTTCGCGATTTGTGCGAGGTAAGTACTAGCGTGGAGCTTAATCACTTTTGTTCCAGAAGTTGGAGTAGGACTCTGTTGGCGTTTATGACTCTCTCAGCTTTATACTTATTACTTTTATTTCCGAACAAGCAGCATAAGGCCGTCCTCTGTCGTTGATTGTTTTTTCCATTTTTTTTGTTTTTTCACAACTTACTAATTGGAACTAGGTTTAGTAATCATTCACTGACGTCTTTCCATCGATAGAATCCCAAAAGAGTAGCTCTATTCGTATTCTCAGGCATTTCAATTTTCTAAAAGCTGTCGCAGAAGAAACACGAAATATAAGCCAAAAACTTTTTTCCAGTGATGATCTTCATCGTCGTCGTTTGTTATCATTAGAATCGGCCATCTCCATTAGAATCAGTGTCATCTTTGTGATTGCAGGCACGTAGAGCGTTCTGCGCATCCATATGTCCGGAAGTCGTTATGTATGTCCAGATTGCTTAGAACTAACAAAGTATCTGTACAGTATGGTCGTGCTGCTGTAGTTTGTTGAAGTTGATTTATACTAGTAGTACAGTGAGGACGGTTGTGTGCCTGTCCTAGCTGTTGAGTTGTAAACAAACATATGATACCTCACAAAGCCAAGCTGCTGATGGAACCCTCAGAAATTCCAATAAGAGTCGCCCTCTGCTGTCCCCAAGCCGACAGCCCATGGACACCCAAAAAAGAACGACCCATGCCCAAACACGCCCTCTTTCGACCATAATTGTCCTACTTGTTGCTGGCCGTGTAGTAGTTGGAAGATATTCATTTTCATGCTACGGACGTAGTATCACTTTTATCACTCTTGAAGTTGAGCGTCGAAGTAGAGAACTCAACTTCCCAACTACTCAAGAACCGGATGGCGACGCGTTCTCACAACAGCAAAAATGTCTGAGAGGAGCTCTGCTATCTTAAACTTCGAGTCCAAGCGCCGCAGCCCTTTGGTTGATTGAAAGCCACTGGACATGGGGAGTCTTCTTTCTAACCTGCGGAGAAGCCCTAACCTGATGGAGTGACCGACTGATTTCTAGTCGAGCAATGAGCCTACTCTTCCCTACTTTTTTCGCGGTCCTCCTTTAGGTTCCTCCTGGCGTGAGCCTGCCTAGGTAAAAAAGCTATCGAGTGAAAAAGGATAAATAAGGTCTCGGCGGGTTTTCAGTCTAACGAGGACCTCCTAAGTGCCTGATTTCCTAGAAAAATTTAAAACTGAGAAAACTAGGACTAGTGGCATTTTTGATGAAGTAAATAGAAATGACTGCAGTGAGGATAGATACTGACGCACGTTATAGGTGGACGTAGAAGAAGCTCACCCATACAAATACGCAGCAGACGTGAGCGAGGACACTTAGTCTACAAAAGGAACATGAAGGCAAGAGGACCGATAGCGAGCACATGAAAACGAGTGCCATCGTCTCAAGTGGTTGCCGTTGACGTGCGCTGCCCGAGTAGTAGTTGACTCAACACGACGACCAGAATACTACTCTGTCGCTTTTTTCAGCCTCTACAACAACTTTCGCGTAGTAGTCACGGAGGTCGCGAACGTTCGATCGGAGCATAGCAGCCACGGACTTGTCGGCGTCAAAGACTCTGGGACTCTCGTACACGGGGAGGATTGTTTCAGCGCTGGCGTCGCTCGTTCTGCTGTAGCTGTCGACCTCGAGGAGAGCGTGTCTTCACTGCATAGCGGAAGCAGCGACGAATACGCTACTTGTAGACTCCACCGCGCACGACGGCGACCACCACAAGAACAGCCTGAACAACCTACCACAATTAACGAACAACAGCTCAAGTCTCCCTATAGTTGATCATATTATGATGCTTTCTAGATCAAGATGAGCGCATTGTCAACGCGACTTGGTTTCTCGCCAGCTCAAAGTTCGAACTTACCGATGGATCAAAAGGCCTGGGGTAGGCCTTCAGCCCCGAGTCTGCTGGGAGGGGTATTAGGGATGTTTCAACTACATCCTCTTGATATTCTGAGGTCTTTCTGCATGCTTATTATGTCAACATAGTAGAGGGCCATTTTTACGAACAACTTTTACTGTTGTACAACAAAAACAATGATAGATAAGTATTTACTAGATGAGCCTCATCATCCTGGTTTTGCATGAGCAAGAGCAGGAGCTAAATCATCGAAAACTTCAGCGCCAGCAACTTCTTGCTGATTTTCAGCAATAATTGTCTCAGCGTCAGCAATAGCATTTTACAGGCACCATTTGCGAAGAACGGCTATCCAATATTAGCGAATCCTGCAAGTGGCGCAGAGTGGAGAGACCAAGACGGGCCAAATAAAAACGAAGCTAGAGTATTAGCCCCAGGCCAGAGCGGTCATCAACCATCAGGTGCAGAAAATTACGATTGCAAGTAGTTTCTTATGTACTTTTGAATAGTTTCGCTTTTCTTTCTCCTTAATGTTGACCTTGTCCGTGTCGCTTGATGTCATACGGTTCTACGTTCGCAATCCGAAATGATTGGGAGATATCTACTTTCACGCCACTTCTATCAAAAATTAACTTGAATCTTACTTGCAACAACTGTAGTAAGAATGACCATGCAAATTATTTAGAGTAACTGTCTAATTAGCATGCTACTCAACATTACCAACAATCATCCCAGAATCATCGCAGCCAGTAGCGAGGCAGATGTCAGTTCCATATCCAGACATTGCGACGCCAAGGCTTTCGCTCCAAAGTGGATTACAGCACGGAGCTTCTATCCATGGAACCAAGAGGCCCAGCGCGCCAAGTAGTACTTGACCACTTACCCTCCTGATTTGCAATGTAATTTCTCCGATCATACTGCGCTTGAAGACAGTACGTCGGTGCCAAAAAATGACTCTACAAGGTCAAGAAGTTAGGGCGTGGCAAAGTATCTTTAGGCTAAGACATCGACTCGGTTTGCAGAGGGCCGCTGGTTCTGTTTTATCCGTCATTTCCATCTATTATCTATACAACATGTCAGTTGCGCACATCGAGGAAATAGAGTGGAAGGATTTGGAGATAACGCAAACATTAGGGAATGGCGAATTTGGCCAGGTTTTTAGAGGGACTTGGAGAGGGAGGCTAAACGAGAAAGGAGAACCTATGGACGTAGCAATTAAAGCCTTGTATCGTGACCCAAACAAAGCGGGGCACGACGTGCAAGCGATAAACGAGCTAAAGAAGGAAATAGACTCCTTCCGAGGGCTCAAGCATAAGAGGCTAGTACTTTCTTCAACTGGTCGCCCTATTTATTTTTTAATTTATGTTTTGTTTTACACTTTGTCGCTGTCTCACTTAAACCTAAGCGTCGTGCTAGTAGTGACTTCTGAGACTGAGGACATGCACATCTGAGAAAGTGACTTTCATCCTCAACACCGTCCTACAGAGTCATCAATCAAGAATCCGCCAGGTCTGCTTTTTGGGAGCATGTTTTGAGCATCCGCATCTCTGCTTCATCACAGAATACATGCCAAACGGTAAAAATTCATCATGTTAGAGTTACGAGCTTCAGAAGGTACTTATAGAAAGAATCAAGAACATAATATAAGCACATAGGTACGAGTTGCACAGCATCGACTGAACAGTCTTCAACTAAACTAGTGCGACCAATTTGAACCACGTAGAGGCACATCATTACAAAAGAAGAAAGTCATGCATTCGTAAAGCGTCTTAGACTCGTACTCTTCTAGTCCGTCGCAAAAAATCACTCTCGACAACAGCTATCCAGTGAATTTCTCAGCGTCTCTCTACTCAGGTTCCCTCTACAATTTTTTGCATGTGCGCAAGGTGAAATTGCCAACAAGGCACGCGATGAATATGTCAATGCAGCTTTGCGAGGGTGTTGAATACCTTTAAGGCTTACCCTAATCCATTTTTGAGGCATCCCGCAGAGGCTTCTGAAGGAAAAACAAGGGGCAGGATACTTCCCAAGACGGATCAGGCTTAGCTCTAACACCTGCACACGCAAGACCCTGTGGTAGTCCATAGAGACCTTAAGTCTCTAAACGTGGTCCTCGATATGCAGTTCAACATCAAGCTGTGCGACTTCGGGCTCACAGAGTACTACTCTCTTATAATTGTAGAACTAGGGAGGTTGCCGCTGCAATTAAGATTAAGAGGACTAGTAGCGCTACAAGGTCTGTAACCACAAGCACAAAGTGGATAAAAAATACTATCGCATATCTCTGCTGGCTTTTGCCTGAACTGAAGCTCCTGATGAACAAACAAGCGAGTACTTTTCCCGAATATCGTACTTCCACACGCCCCCCTTTCTACGTACTTCCACACTGTATCTTCTCAAGGTATATCGACAAAAATAACGCGCGAGGGAGGGGGCATAATGGAGGCAGCCCAAGATATATGGCTCCAGAGCTTTTCGACAAGAAGATGAAAATCACAGAAAAGATCGACGTCTGGGCGATGGCGTGTATTTTGACCTACAGGAGATGACGCGTTGAGCTGCTTTTAGGGTTACGCTTCTCATCGTTCTAGTATGCTCCTGAGATATTGCGTTCGCCATCTCTATCAGTGACTACAGTTACAGTTTTACGCCTCGATCTCAAACGAATCAACAACGACCCAGCAAGGCACCCCCTTACGTCACCACTTAAAAACGACTGCCAAAGGTATCTTCTGCGAAATATTTGGCGGCGCTATTCCATATGATGGCGTCAAAGATATGCCGACACTGACGCACATAATGACCGTGAAGAAGCAGAGCCCTTCAATTCCAAGCCACATCGAAATTGAAGCGGTATTTCACTCAGATGATGACGAAGCGACGCGGGTTTTTTGTGGAAGAGCGAAGTTCGCTGTCGTTCCAGTTTCCTTACATCAAAGACATCGAGCCCACTTGTGTGGATTATCAAACAAACTCGTCGGCTACTCTTCTCCTCTCCTCCTTGATCTTCGTATCTTTATCCTATCAACTCTATCTATAGGTAAAGCAGCTTATCCGGGAGTGCTTTCTTTTTGACCAAGACGCACGGCCTTCGTCTTCCAACGTTTTTAAGAGGCTGCAGCGCATCAAAAAAGAGGACCCTGTAGCCGGTGGCGGGAAAAAAAAGAAAGGTCACAGCTAGCTTGTTGAAGAGTGGCGCTCAGAAGAGAGTGCTCCTCTTCAGAGGAAAGCACTCCTCTAGAGCTTGTCGACAAGAAGCCGGGTGAGATCAAGTAGACTACATGCTCAGGAGACAGATGATAGGGCGAAGAGTGCTCACAAGACAGTACGACCACTAGAAGCATCTTCGTCTGGAAGTAAGAAGCACGCTCAAAAACTAGTATAGGCATTTTTAGTAACGTCGTCAAGCTTTCAGATTGGAGGTAGTTCGATAGACTTAGACTTAGGCACTAAAGCTATTTATTAATATTCATTCAATACGCAGGCAAAGACGCTTGTAGCTGACGCAATATTTTCAGAGATCATTTCGACGCATTTCTAACAGTTAGATCCATGGGTTATGTATCTGTTCACACGCACCCGCGCCGAAACATTTCTCCGCGGGTATTTTTCCTCTCTCTGTCTCAAGGCTAATATAAGTGTCATGTATACCACAAAACCGCTCGAGCGCACTGGCTTGCGGATCAGTCGAGGATAGGAACCAGCAAGAATGTCTATCGTGAGGGTGGTTTCTAGGCCATCGCGATTGAAATTCAAAAAAACGATACTAAAAAAATTACAGTCCCGTCCGCCTGTTCATGATATTTCACAAGAGCCCCGCATTAGAAAAATGTCATCGGGATCGGGAGAGCGAAGGATTGCCGCGACCTCTCGAAAAGTGTAAGGGTTGTCTTATTTTTACTACTAGATAAAGAGAATCGTAAAGACTAAAACTGCGCCAAGAGGGTTGCTCATCTGGTTCGTTGCACTTCTTGTTTCCTGTGTTTCTGCATAACGCGAATAAACTTTGAGTACGTGGCTTTCCCTAAGAACGCTGATGGGCAAAGGCCAGAACTAATATAAGGAGTTTGCTTTTTTGTAAACATCACACACACACGCTCACTACTCAACTTCTGTGCAGGTCGTCAAACAAATGCAGTAAGAAAGTACTCACTCGAAGATCTGTGCTGGAGTCGAGCACGTCGATGGCTCTGAATCAACCACCTACATAACTAGGACCGGACAAAGCTAAAAGTGTCACTTTCATCAAATTAAACAACTTCGTGCATGGACAAAATTTCCGTGCAGAGGTCTCCTGGGTGTCGGCTTGCTTCAGTCAGATGCGGATAGATGATGAACAACTGTAATAATAATGCTCGCACTTCTAGGACATAAAAACGCGGCTAGCAAAATCACTACATAAGCATACGAAGTCGTTGGGTCGGGGGTTGAAGCAGTGACGTTTTCAAAATGTGCATGATAATTTGAAGAAGTACCACAATGAATACGCAGAGAGGAGCCACCTCCCCTCGGTGAGCAATGTAGTTTAGTTCCAAATGTGGCCACTTATTACAGTTAGACCGAAGATATTGATTATTTAAGTGTCTATCATGGTAGAAAGAAGACTTGGCTGCCCTAGTAGTTGTAGAAGATCCATCCGGACGACTGTTGTGTGGGTGCAGCATAGCACTCTCGAGACATGGCCAAAGCAAGTCCGAAAATGGCAACGAGGTGCAGGCGGTCAGTGCCACTCTCAGCTTAGGCTGGCAACAGCTCCGCTCAGAAACCACTGCCGCTAGTTCTCCTCTAAGAAGTTGCAAGTACCAACCTAGCGATGGAGAACTTTAGCACTAGTGCTGACAACTAGTACTATATCGCGCGCAGCTACTTCTCTAACTCTACCCTGTCGGTCTACCTCCAAGCGATTCAGTCTAGTACTCATCTTCTCACTATTAACATTCATTATTCAACATCCTCGTTTTGGTTTCTGTGTTTCTGAAGCAAAAAGACTCACGCTACAGTGTAACATAATCCATTGAGCCTTTCTAGCGCTGTTGTACAAACTTCGCGGCTGAAGCCTTTTGCTCCTGGTGCCTTGTTCCTTCGGTTATGCCGACGGCGGTTCTTTTCGGTCATGGATTTCGAGTGAGTCGCGTGAGAGGAGAGTGAAGTAGCACTGCTCGAGCGATTGAGTCCGGCCTATCTCTACCTGAAAAGACTAGCTTCCCTGAAAACTTCAGTATAGGTGTTTGTGCGTCCACATGCAGTCGTATGGACGAATAGGAAGTGGAAAGAGTAGTTTCTAGGTGACATGTTTTCTACATAAGTGCTCCATGCCAGTAGAGTAAATTCTTGTCGGAGAAAGTCTATACGTCCAAAGCCGCGCCACGCATGTAATTTCCACTAAATTGCATGGTCGGTAATACGGGAAGGCCACGGCCCCAACGGGCCGCGCGAGGCGAGCCGAGCATGCGTAATATCCTCCGCTCCTGTGGTCCTCCCATCATGGACGACGCCGCTCTAACATCCAACTCCATCCGCTAGAGAACGTTTCTGGCGAAGACGACTGCTGCTCCAGCTGCTGCTGCTTTTCATTGAGTAGAACCTGGAGTTTGCTTCTAGCCTCGCTGCTTGCGTGTGTTGGATGCAAAACTTCCAATCCTTTCCTACGCTGCTTTTCTCAACAACTCGAAGGGGAAAATAATAAGAAAAGACGAAGGTGGAGGGGAAAAGAAGAACAAGATGGACGAGCTGAAGCGGGAAGATAGCATCACCATGACCCCTGGTGGGTTCAAGTCGGCGTCTTTGTGGCCGTTCGCGCAACATCAACGTCGACGTGCGAGTATCATGCAACCGCATCCCTACCCAGGAGCCCATCATCAAAGTTCTGGAAGTCACTCTCAACATCAGAATTATGATGGGCGCGGCCAGTGCCAATTCGACGACAGTGTGAGGGCAACGAACAGTGGCACGCGAAACGGCTTTCATCATCCTACGTTATGCAAAGCAGACATGATATTGGAGGGGTCTTCTTCATCAATAAGCTTTTTATAGCATCATCATGAGACAAGTTAGGACAACTCCGGGCTATCTCCATCTATCAGATAGCTCCTCCCTCTAATTACAACGAGGGCGAAGCCCTCTCTTCTAACTAAAACTGGCACCCCGATACAAGAGAGGTCGCCATCGTATGCCGGAAGAGGCACCGACCACCTGAACGAACGAACAGGAGGACTACACTCTGCTGAAAGCTCCTCAGGGGATCTACTTGGACAAGCAGAAACCGATGGTGCAGGTGGGGATCAACTTACGGCGCCTTGGATATTTGTAGAGCGGGATGAAATGACTCTCGACCTGATGAAAGGCGGAGCTAGGATATTTGGAGAGCGGGATGAAATGACTCTCGACCTGATGAAAGGCGGAGCTAGGATATTTGGAGAGCGGGACGAAATGACTCTCGACCTGATGAAAGGGGGAGCTTGGATATTTGGAGAGCGGGATGAAATGATTCTCGACCTGATGAAAGGCGGAGCTAGGATATTTGGAGAGCGGGATGAAATGACTCTCGACCTGATGAAAGGCGGAGCTAGGATATTTGGAGAGCGGGACGAAATGACTCTCGACCTGATGAAAGGGGGAGCTTGGATATTTGGAGAGCGGGATGAAATGATTCTCGACCTGATGAAAGGCGGAGCTAGGATATTTGGAGAGCGGGATGAAATGACTCTCGACCTGATGAAAGGGGGAGCTTGGATATTTGGAGAGCGGGATGAGTCTCGACCTGATGAAAGGGGAACTACATCCTCCGAAAGGGGAACTACATCCTCCGGATGATAAAATGAAACTTCAAGAGACCTTGAGCTAATATGTTTTTTTTTTTGCTGAGCAACAAAAGCACTCCGTCTACACTTCTAATTTGTCTCAGCAGGAGGTTTCAACCCAGCGGAACTTTGCTGCCAATGCAAGAGGTCGCCAGCCGGTGAATATCAAAGAGGCGCCAACTTTTTCAGCATCCATAGCAGGAGGCCATCAGACGAGAGGGCCAGAGTCTATCCCAGACCCGCCTAGGAGATATATTATGAGGGTATAGGGTAATCTATTTCCGATATTTTCTGCAAGGATACTCTCACCAGAAAAAAAGCAAACAAGTAATTATACATTGCTAGTATATCCTGACTCCCGAAGTCGACCGCAAGAAGCTGAGTCTGTCTGCTGCGGGAAATCGTACTCCGGCGATAAATTATTTGGCCTGAACAAAGACAAAAAATAGAACAAATGTACTAGGTTTAGCACAACATTGGCAACCATCTTCACCGAATAAGATTTGCTTTGACTTCATCTAATCACAACTTCTCCTTAACGAAATTAGAACGACTACCAGCGAGAAAAAGCCTCTTCACACCTTTTACACGGGAAGAACACGCCGAGCACTACAAATACCAAGATCGGCTCGTTCCTCGCGACAGCCCTTTCTGCCAATCGCTTGGGAATTTAGTGTTATGAAAAAAAAAGTAGGAGAAGTAGGGAAGTTCCTTTTTCTGCGAGTTGTGAAAAGTCTGATGGAGTAGATGAATAATCTCGGGCTCGCATATTGTTCTTTTCTTGCTCAAAACACTACCAAGCTGTCCTACACTACCAAGTCCGCTCTAACTCTCGTCGAGCGGCAGATACCGGGATATCTTGGCAGCAGTCTGCGGTCTCTCTACTACATGAACCTTTTCCACTCTCTGCTGGATTTCAACACCAGGACGCATGTGGTTTTGGTCTCCTTCACATACACGCTGTTCTGGATGGTCATTGCGGTAGTTATGGAAAATTGAGAAACCACCTGGACGCGGCTCCTGTCTGGAAGTCGTACTATAGTCTAATTGGAACTCATTTACCGACTCGAGCCTCATCCTCGAGCCAAAGCATTTTTATCGTCATTCAGGTGTGCTCCGGTTAGTTTTCACCTCGACAATATTAGACAACGATATTACTTAGGTGTACTCGTCGAATAACATGCGAAACGCATTGTTTTTCCACATGGACGACCACGCCCACTTTGCCTTCATCTCCTTCTTCCTCCTGATCGATGAGAGTTGCAAACTCGATTTGGACCACAGTTTTACCAAGGCCTATATCTTGAGCGTGGAGACGTTTGTGACGATTGGTTACGGTCTCCGGAACGACCCTTACCTGAACGGATGCTGGGAAGGTGCTGTGGTTTTGAGTGTTAAGAAATGCTAGAAGAAGACACTTTACCCGATAGACCACGCGTTTGAAAGTTTACAGAACAATCTAAGTTTCAGTAGGTTCAGTAGGTAGAAAAAATTGAATGAACAAAAATTCAGTGACTCTTAGTTGCGTCTTCAAACGATGACTCCACTACGATAAAGCTACACAGCTGCCCTTCGCAGCAGTGTTTCTTTTTCTTTTCTACATCTACGATAACGATCCATCTCCTCTAAATTACTCGGCTCCCTCGTGTCGATGATTTTGGATGGCATTTTGATCGGTTTGATTTTTATGACGCTTACGAATCCCCAGCGACGCGCTGCGACTGTGGTTTTCACGGATAAAGCGATTATAAAATTGATAGACGGATCGCCACACTTGGTCTTTCAAGTAGCAGAAATACGAAAGCAGAGCTTATTAGACGCAAAGATACGATGCTACTGCTTCAAGCATTGCGAAGTCATCAATCCGCTGACGGGGACGAAGAGCAAGAGCAGGGTATACTTTTTTTTGGAATTTTGTGTTAGTAGTTGTGGTGGCTCAACTATGGGGGCCTTAGGTGCTGCAAGTAGCAAGCTCTTAAGCGTTGCGAAGGAATGGGTACCCGCTAAGAACTGCAAGTGCGCGGCACCTAGTGGTTGCCGCTCATGGTTGCCGCTTAGGTGCTGCAATTGCAAAAGCATGCCCTTTAAGAGTTGCAAGGGTGATTCTCTGAAGCGTTTCCGAAGTGCCTTTCTTAAGTGCTTCAAAAACGCAGTTTTTAACTGCTTCAGTAGTGGCGCCTATAAGTGCTTCGGAGATGCATATTTTAAGTGCTTCAGAAGTGGCTCCCTTAAGTGTTTCAGAGGTGCGGCTTTTAAGTGCTTCAAAAGGGCCTCCCTTGAGTGCTTCAGAGGTGCGGTTTTTAAGTGCTTCAGAAGTGCCCCCCCTTAAGTGCCTCAGAAGTGCCCCCCCAAAGTGCCTCAGAAGTGTTCCCTTTGAGTGCCTCCGAAGTGCCTCCCTTAAGTGCCTCAGAGGCGTGCCCTTCAAGTGCCTCAGAGGCGTGCCCTTCAAGTGCCTCAGAGGCGCGTCCCTTATGTGCCTCGGAAGCGTGTCTTTTAAGTGCCTCACAGGCGCGCCCCTTGACAAGTAAACGGTGCCGCTCATTACTCATTAAGCGGCGATAGTCACCACTTAAGCGATATTCGGTGATAGTCACCAGCACCACTTAAGCGGGGATAGTCACCACTTAAGCGAGGATCGTCTCCACTTATTAAGCTTTGAAGTCCTCTACTTATTAAGCTTTGAAGTCTTCTACTTATATTAGGCTTTGAAGTCCTCTACTTATGAAGCGGTGACATTCAGTACTTATCTATTAACACCGACTGCAGTTTCCCATACTCCCCACATGCAGGTGCTGCAACAATTCCCGATGCGATTGCAAAGTCCAGACGACGAGCTTGGTGGCATGCTGTTTCTTGCGACGCCGTTTTTGGTCGTTCATCGTATAGACCAATGGTCCCCATTGTTTAGGCATTATCGCGGCCCAGAAGCGACGCCGCCAGATTTCGAGTACGAACTAGCAGCTTGTGCAGGAGAAAACTCTGACCGGCTGCTGAGGGGATTGGGCAGTACTTATAGACAGCTTCTGTTGAGGAAGATGCTCTAGTTGGTGTGCTAATCTGAATGAAATAAGAGATAATTGCTGACTCTTTGTTGCAATCGAAGAAATACATTAACCTCCAAGGCTACTTAAATTTTTCTTGCCGTGAAAATTAATCATGTTCCTCACACCGCCAGTCGGAAGCAATCCAAGTCCGATCAGCGAAAGATGGGCAGGCGGTTACTCTGGACGAATGGGCAGACAAGCTTCTGGAGTCTTCGGCGCAAAAGAATCACTAATATTGTGGCAGGTCGTAATAGAAAAGTCTTTGATTAATTCTGCTGGCGTTTCGTGGTAAGTAGCAATGGCACCCCTTGCGTAGCAAGATTGACATCACAGGACTACTCCATGTGCAATCGCGCAAAAAGGCTCTAACTTGCATATCTTCGCAACTCTGCGCGAGAAGAGATTACCTCTGTCCACCCATGCGTATGTGCGATATCGAGAGGGGCGCGTTTATGCTTTTTTCCTGTCCGTACTGCGGAGAAATGTTCAACACCAAACGAAACTACCAGAGACATTTGGTGGATAGGAAAGGGGAAGGTACTGGATGGAGAATGTACACAGAACGTAATGGTCTGAACATCTGGACAGCATAGCTGCAAATCGTCTTTGATGTACAAAAGCACACACTGCGCAAAATTTACAACAATGTCACTAGGTATCCACCCAGCCGACGTTCCTGACTTGGTGCCTATGAGGCCATCGCTGCGGATGAATACGACGACGAGAAGAGAGCACTCTTTCACCAGTCCAGACGACCAAAAGCAAATAAATAGCAGTCGAAACACGCGCTCTTCGGTGGGAGGAAGCGACGCCGGAGTATGCATTCCGGTTGCGGAGAAATTGCATATAGATTTATGGCTTGTAGTTGATGGCGGAACTCGGACTATATATATTTCAAAAAATTTTCGATGATCTTCTTCTAAGCACAATCTCGCGAAACAACAGCAAGGGCAGTAATCGCGATCAGTTCGGTCTAGACGCTGAGAAAATAATAAGCAGTACAACAGTAGACGAAGCCGGGGGCGACACTACGGACGACGCGAGGCAGGCCGATAGGAGGGCCTCTAGTTAAGGCTAGTGGCGCGAGATGTCCTGACTTAGTTCCCCTTGATTCGAAGAGGAAAGCAGGGGGGAACCCGAGGAAGGACAGCCTCCACTTACCTTGAGTCGAAGACGAAAGCAGGAGGGAACTCAAGGAAGGACAGCCGCGCCTAGTGATTGACTACCGCTAACATAGTGAGGCAGAGGAAGCTGCCAGTTCCTTTCGCGTGGAGATCATAGACGAGGAGGCGCTACCTACTAAGGCAGTAGATGTTACTCGAACAACATCCGCTACAACAAGAGCAGCTGCATCCTCGCCCCTACCAGTTAAGAACAGTGACGCTGTTGAACAGAGTGGAGCTTTTGCATTGAATGTCGGAGACGAAGTAGGTGCTCGTGATACTAGAGCTGCAGGCACTCAGCAGCATGGACGTATGAAAGATCCAGACAACAACGACCCAGATCAAGAAGATCCTTGTAGCAGGGAACAAGTGCAATATCCAGAGCACTTGCGATCAAGGCACGAAATGGATTCACTTGATGAGACTAGGAGGGAGCTGCGTTTATACGACCATGAACTCCAAGAAGAGCGCGCGCGTCTGTTTATGGCTGCGGAAAGCAAAAGATCATCACGAGTCACTGCGTGTAATATCAGTTTGGAGATAGTAGCGAAAAGAAGCCAAGTCCGCATATTCTGGATTTTGGTTTGAAGTGATTACCTACGCTAGACGGACAGATGAGTGCCCTGATCACAGTTTGCCTCTAATCCCTTAAGCCACGACTATTTCGAGATCCTAGTCCTGGTCGAGGGTGTGGAGCCTTTCACCAGCAGCATGGTGCAAGCGAGGCATAGTTACGCTTTTGGCCAAGATATTGTGCTCAATGGCGACTTCATGCCTTGCACTTTCTTGAAGCAGGATGGCTCTTCGATGGTAGACTTCGGGAAGTTCCACCAAGTAGTCCAGGCTGACGTGACGGATAGTGCCAGGACTAGTTCTTCGGAATTAGGTGGATGAATATGACTACACTCAGACTTCTGTGCTAAGAAAGGCCTACTAAAAGTGGGACTCAGCTAATCCATCAAGCCAAGTTTTAGACACATACGTCGGGAGAAGGAGATAACGAAGTGACGGAATAGAAAAAAGAAACAGGATAAACCTCATCAATACGACTTTATAGTAGCTTAGCTGTAACGGCAATTATTGCCACTCCCATTCTTTCACCAGGCCGCTTTCGTCACGCTTTTAGCTCCGCGCTGTAGATGACTGGCGAGGCATGTGACTTCACCGGTCGAGATCTCAAAAACATTAGTTAAGTCCGATCTCTGCGCTTAGGCTTAGCACAGGCTTGCTTCACTGATTTCGGGCTTGCTAGTCGTAGTTAATTTTTTTCACTGTCAGTTCATGTTTTAGGTGGTTCATCAGTAAATCCATCATCAGCGTTGCGGCGTGTCGTACCCCTGCAGGTGTGCTGACTTGCTCATGGGGCCCCGCTGCGTCGGGTTGCGCCTTAGGTTTTCTACAGGGGCCGAATGTACGGCCTCTTCGATAGATGTAGATTTGTGGCCGATTGTACGGTCTTATGCGCACCCAGTATGTAATTTGGATGATCTTATAAATATGGGGTAAATAATTGGCTGAAAGGGTGGCAGCATATAGTCCTAACGCAAAAAAAAAAAAAATCTACGGGTGCTAGGAGCGGCACTATCAGGGGCATACACATGGCATGGCCTGCTCCTTTGGAGTACCTTGTTGATTGATGCAGACGCTTTTGATTTCGTTTCAATTGGGCGAGTAGTTTAACTTAGCTTTATAGCAAATTAATAGCTTTTCTTATGGATGCGTACCCCAGTAGCTTAGCTTCTCCAGCAGTTTTCTTATCTCGTTATTCGGTTCCATTGGTATTCAGATGCTTATGAAGTAGATAGAAACTGTAACAAGCTTTTCGCACTCAGATTTCTCAATATTGGTGACAAAAGATTTTGGCTTCAGTTCTCGCGTCAGGTTTCTCAGATTTCCAGTTCAGGTTTACGCATTTCGCAGTTTTTGAGTGAGTTTTTAGATATGATGTCTGTTAGCTTTCCTCGGTTCTACTTAGTACGGTCAGTAGGTGCAAAGTTGAAGTTAGGGGGGGTAGAGGGTAAGTAATGAGGGGTGGGTAAAGGGACAAGAACCCTGGGTCTTTGCTTACTTCGGGTTTCTCCACCAAACGCGCAGCTGGTCGATCGAGGATGCGTGCGCAGCGAAGTGTTTTGCCTCATCGCAGTGACCAGACCTCGTGTTAGATTAGCTTCGTTTGAGTCCCATAGTATCAGTGAGCGAGTCTTCTCATGTCATTTTCCTTTCTAGTACGAAAGTCTTTCTCTTGTAGATTCTTTTTCTGGTGCAATAGATATTGAAGATGTTTGTATCTATTTTTTTTGTCGAGTGCTGTCTTGACCTCCTGTTTCGTGTCATGTACGTAGAAGTCTGTCTTGATATAAGAAAGTACTCATTTTTGACACATGATTAGCGGCATGAGAAAACATACACTCGTCAACATGTTGCTCCACATACCTTCGAAATTTGAACTAAACGTAACTCGTTACGATCTTTTACTCCTCAGTATGTGCGACTAGCGTCTTGGTTGGTTCACCGTAGCGTAGAAGTAGTAAGATTGAAATCTCGGTGGACAGTATTTTTGCTACAGCCTGTTTCCTTATCGAGGAGAAGAGTATACATTTTTTCAAAACCTATCTGAGTTCCATAATTTCTTAACCTTAAATAGTGCCCTAGTGTGGACTAACGCAAAGTCTGTGGACCCCCCCAAAATGGCTCTGACAAGAGTGCTTGTGGATGATACGACTCGCGCAGATGATGTTAGCATGAAACTTCCATGCGTAGTGACGGAAACACGCGAGCACTTTTGCTGGCGTACGGGGTAGCTCCTCGGACACAGAGTGATGCAATGCAAGCGGATATGCCACTACGGTGGGCTGCGAAACAGCAAAAGCAAAAGGGTGACAGGGCGAGGGAAAAACGACATGAAAACAATTTGAGTTCGTCCTTGAAAAGTCGATGACGTAATATCGTGCCTCCAAATGGCAAAAAAAGTTCAATAGTATCGAATCAGACTTCAGAAAGAGGCACGCACGATTATCGACTTAGAAGACATCAGTCACCGGGTAGCTATAGCTAAACACCATATTATAAGTGATCTATCAGGAAAATCTTAGGCATCTTGTCGAATAGGTTCAAGTCCTCAGTTGATCTATCAGAGTGCTAGCCATGGTGCTTAAAAAACTATATGCAGTCGCCCTAGTCGTCGCGATCACGCGCGTCGCGACCGCAAACAAAGAGGCTAAACGGAGAGGCCATTTGCTACGTGGTACAAACGAGAAAGCTGCAAGGAAAAGGAAAAGGTCAGCGTCATCTGCTTCTTCATCTTCGTCCTTAGAAGTCCAGATTTCTAGTGCAGCTGGTAACCAAGAAGATCAGGACTCCGGGAACTACAACGTCCGCATTTTACCACCTACGCCGTTGGATGGAGCTACGAGCGCTGCGTTAGCGCGTGGTAAGGAGATAGAAGAACGACAGGCAGAGGAGGAACAACTGCAGCAGCAGGTCCAGGATGATTCTTCGCCACGACAGAGCTCCGAAGATACGGCGAAAGAGCCGGCAGTTGTAGATGAGACGAAAGGTAACGCAGGTGATGGCGCTCCTGAAGACCATCATACCAGGATCACTGACAGTGCAGAAGATGAAGATGAGCAAGGCGAGGACCACAGTGATGGCGCTGCAGTAGAGGGGCAAGAGGAAAGACTTGAGGTAGACATCACGCAAAAAGTACATGATCAATCTTCGAAAAAGAACCTGGTGGCTGAACTTGCTAAAATAGGAGAAGAACAGCTGAGTGAAGAGCAGACGAAGAAACCTGTCGTAGAACCGTCACGAAAGCAGGAGGAACAAACCGAAGAGGAGCAAGACTCCTCCTCTTTCGTGTCTTCGTCGTTTTTATGGCAAAATGTGTATACTTGTATCGATGAAAGACTTACAAGGTATAGACTCTTTTTGTTCCGGTTAGTTTTTATTGTTTCTCAACAGCAAGCATTTGCCATTCGAGGTGGTACATGCTGCACTTCAAAAATCGTTTCCTCCAATCGCCGGCGCCGCATCCGACCTCACGAAATTAATGCGAGAACCCCACGTGAGTCCCGGGTCAATTCCTGGCACCATAATAATCACCAATCTGCCAGGACGCTTCACGGAACAGGCTAAAAGATTAGTTCAGCAAAAACTGTGTCCGATTGTGATAGCAGAAGGCGAGAATGAGTCGCATTTATGGCAAAGTTCGGCAATTTTTCATCCAGCTAGATCATCGAGTAGATACTGTAAGCGAGCCGCGGAGTTTGCAGGTCCTCATGGCTTGTGACAAAAAAGAGCTGCAGCTGGCGCCAACCAGAGAAGATGAAGTAACTTTTTCCACCTCTTCATGATTCGTTGAGAAAGCATACGAAGCGTATACGGCAATCAAAAAGACATTTGTGGATTTAGTTGTCCAGGCTGATTCGGATCCTAGCGAAGCTCCTGCTACAGAAACAGAAGGAGGAGAAGCAAGCACAACACCAGAAGGAGCTACTCAGCAGATGAAAGATGGCACGAGCAAAGAGGTCCTCAAAGAGGGCACTAGTTCTCAAAGTTCAGATCCAACGTCAGCTTCTTCTGCTACAACTGGGTCAGCTGTGGTGGATCCTTCACTCACGACTAGTCCACCTAGTACCACCACCACTAACGCAGATCCAGCAGAATGTCGCGTCGATGAACTGCTCGAGGACGAGAGGGAGGACTTGAGTAAACTAGTTTTGAAAATCGTCTACGGCAAGAGTAGTGATAGGATGTGGACGCAAGGCGAATTAGATGATTTGCAGGACGTTCTGGCCGATGAGCTGAGTGGAGGCGCCGCGTCGAAACGTGCAGGCGAAGGAGGCAGCGGAGAAGGTGGAGGGATGAGTTTACGACGAAGGAATTTTGAGTGACTCAGACACAACTCTACACTTTTTACCCGTTTACTCCTAACTGCAAGACTAGCGGGTTAGTCTTACAATTACAGGAGTACTAGTAATCGACTTCAAGACTGGCACAACTTTCGCGAATAAGAATGAGAAATGTAAACTTAAGCTTGTTAAGCTTTCATATCTCGGCATCTTCCACGGTCTCCGCCCCGGCGATTGCGTTCTCACAGGGAGCAATCATTTGTACCAAGTTCTCACCAGACCGCCTCCTGGAAGCAACTTCGTCCCAGTACGATGCTACGGACTCCACAACGCTGACTCCAATGGCGTAGGCTTTTGCCACGACGACCAGTATGAAGCGAGAATCTGTTATCGTTATCAAGTTTCTTAAGTAGAAAAGTACGATAATGATAACAGACTTTCTTTTCATAACCAGCCAAAAGCCGATAGGCTGAATCCTCATAAGCCACTGAGCTACCAGTTCCCACTGCATAGGAGATGGAGACAATTCAGCTATCCCTCACAGCATACGAACAGGAGGGGTTTTCATCCTAATGCAGGAGCTGGGTATCCTCCATCTTCTGGCGGTGCTGCTGTGAATCCTTCTGGCAGGAGTACCAGAGCGGGAAGCTTAGCAGAAATTCCGTCTTTGCTAGAGCTGTCGGAGGCGTCGAATTTGGTGGACGAAGAGGAAGCATCTTTTCCATCTTCAACTATGATGGGGCTAAAGAGAACATCCGCCGCACACGAACCCCACCAGATGTCATCCTCCTCTCCTCTCGCAGGCAATCAGCACGACCACCGTCGCACCTTAGAGCACGCCCTTCTCCATCCACCAATCACCGCAATGTGGAATGCCTTTCGTCCGATACTGATTCCTCGACAGAGAATCGCAAAGCGCGTCCGGTCCTGTCGTCGAGCTCTGGACAAGCAGAAGAAAAAGCAAAAGGGGACTTCGGTGAGTCCGACTCTCTTGGGAAATGGCGTGGGAACTTTCTCTACCGCCCCAGTCTCGGATCGAAAGATGGGCAACCAAGGTGGAACAAATGGCGGAGCGCAACTAAATGGAACGCATGCGGGTGGAGGGGCCTCGCTTTTGTTACGGCTGTGAATGGAATTAAGTATCTGTGACTGTATTTCGGTAATCTTCAATTTTGGCACAAATACTATAGACAGTATACAAGTGGGCACTTATATTGCTATAGACAGAAATATACTAGGTACTACGCGCTCCACATCCAAGCTTAGCGAGCATTCTCCTCTCTAACCTTCGAGGATGAGTATGCGCTAGAGCGTGTCTCGGATGGTGGAGCCTTGTGGCAGGTCCTGGAGAGCGGTAAGAATTTCTTTTGGTATCTCCAAGACGCGTATGCGAATGCATTGAAATGAAGAGAAGCGGAGTCTCAGGCTCGACGTGCTTCCCCAATTTTGACTATGGAGAAAGCGCAAGACTTCGAAACAAATTTTGTCAACGATTTGCACAGCTTGAAAAGTTAACGACTCCACGTCAACGTGTATAGTGTTTAAAAGTAGCGACTCTGACTGAGATTTTTGTGCGGAGAGGAGCGGGCGCAGTCGTCGGCATTGAGTTCGTGTTTCTAGGTTCAACGTGATCAAGGTACTACAGTGTGTTCTAGTTCCACCACAGCACGTTCTAACTCTTCGACAGTATTTTTCTCCAAGGTGATCGGCTTGCGAATATTCCTCAGTGTCGTGTTCTATCGGTACGTCCTTCGGTGTCCTTTTCATAACAGCGAGAGTCCTCCTGTGAAGTCGCGACTTTTTTCAACAAAGTACTTTTGTTATTCGAGATTTATGCAAGATGTTGCCCACAATGTTGAAAGCTCCTTGTCTCTTCTTTTCGCTACCTGCCTTCTTTGAGGTTGCTGCTTACTCAGCCTCTAGCCCGGGAAATACAAAACGACAAAGCCCTCCAACGCTTTTCGAACAGGCGCCGCTTGCTCCGAATAGTGCTGGTGAACGTGACAATGATGCTCGTGGTACTCCTTCTGCTACTAAAGCAGTACAGCGCGAAGGCTCTAGTTGTAGCCATTCGTCATCTAGTAAGCCTCCGCGTCCTGGTACTCCGAAACCCAAACCTCAGCCTTCACCCATTCGTGCACCGTTGCCGCAGTTGGGCTTTCAGCTAGCTTCGCAGCAAGAAGAAGAACCCACCTCACGCAGCTCTGGCATGCTGGGATCGCTGTTGCGTCACGGCGTTGCGCCGTCAGCGTCAACGTCGTCCTTGACCGGATTGAATGCAGAGCATGAAGCTGCCGGATTGTTAAGGCGAGAGTTGATGTACGAATAAGCAACTTCTGGGAATTTTAAGTCGTGGGTCCAATCCGAATCGACTAACATCATTATCAAGATAAAAAGATTGACTGTTTTGCCGAGCTTATTCAATTCGCCACTTCATTACTCAACTCCCACCGCGCGTTTTTTCTTTTTCTAATTCCTGGCACTTCTTCCGCATGCCTAATGGAGCAAGGTCGCACTGCGACAGACGACCGCAGCGCACCTGAGCCATCTTCCCGCGTTTTGTTTGGAGGTATCTTCCAGGGCCAACATGTTGGGGATGCCCAATTTAAAACCAAGAGGAGCCGTTTGTTGAAAAAGTTTTGTCTTGCTGCGACGGGTATTGCAGCAGCCTCTAGTGCCTGTGTTGGTATGTACATGTATGGGCCTCAGGCGGGTTCTATGGCTGCTCAGGCGGGTGGGTTTGGTGGATCAGCTAGCAGCTCATCTCCGTCGCGTTCAAGAAGCGTCTATGATATAGTTGCACCAGCTGCGTCGTCGACTTTTCATCCTAGAGCGAGCACTTCTTCTACGTCTTTTTCTCCCTCGACATTGGGCCACGATTTTGCGGAAGATGCAGACGCGCCAAAAGGATTGCTGAGTGACATGGAAGGTCGTGGTGGTTATTTACCGAACAGCGGCGACTACTTCGAGGTCGAATATTTGCCAACGCTACCGGATCGAGAACAGTTTGAGAAGGGGCCACAGGTGTCGGCTGGTAAGAAAGATGACGAGAGTCATCATAGTAGTACTAAGGACGAAGAGCTACATGATCGAGGAGCAGTATTTGCAGCACCCAAGAACAAACTGCAAGAGAAGCCACGCAAAACGAAGAATCTGCTGGTAGTAGTTCAGCAAAGGATGGCCCGAGTGATGATTGCGTGAAAGTAGACAGCAGAACATCCTTCATGTCATCGATCCCGTGACAGAAAGAACGGAACAACAAGTAGCTGCGGATGCGAAGGAACAACAAGTAGGCGCGTCGGACAGTATGTGCCGAGTAGCAAGACCAAAATTATATGCGTGGAAGTAGATGATGAAGATGCAGATGGTGAAGTTGGTGTAGACACACAGTGTTATAATTTTAATGTTGTACTATTTTGTTACAAGAGTAAGCTACTTGATGCAGAAGTTGCAGTTGTATTGGTACTTATATGTATCATCTACTACCCTTACACTCAGTGCTCTACCTCTAACAACTAAGAAGACGAGGACCGTGGGCCGTTCGGTGCTGAAAAAGAGAAGCTGGAGCATTATGCCGAAGACATTCTCGCGCAGCTACACAGGAATGATCCAAGGGACCCTACGTCTCTGTCTCTCCTCGACATCCATTTTTCCCGACACTTCTACAGGGACTTCGCGTTTTGCTTCCTGCATAACAATCGTATTGAGTCTCGTTTCTTTGATTTTGGTGTCAACATATTGACTGCAACTACAACATGCGTATGAGGAGCAACATATGCTCAATCTTCCTCACCACACTCCTACTTCTACAAGTTAGTAGATCTAACTCGACCTCCACGTTCTACTCAAGTAGAATCCACCTCGGACTACTTGTACAAATACATAGATCTAAGTACCTCGTGGTCGACCTCCACCCTCTAGCTCTACTCAAAGACCAGGTATCCGCAAGTTGCAATTGGAGCGCTGTAATATGGGTGATGTTGCTTGTGAGCGCATCGGTTTTCTGTTGCGGGAAAATAGCAGTGTCTCCATTCTGTCCCTTTGCGAAAATCACATCAAGAGCGTAGGTTGTGGCTTCATAGCCCGACCTCTAGACCGCGGATATGGGACAGATAAGCTGAAGCGTCGATTGACGCATTTATTCCTGAATCGCAACCACATCGGACCGGTCGGAGCTAAGTCGCTCTCTCTAGCTCTAGTCCACAATCGAACGCTGGAAGCACTGGAAGTGAGGGGAAACTGCATCGACTCTTGGGGAGTGGGATGGATGTGCATGGGTACTATTTCTATAAAACTACATCGACTCTTGGGGAGTGGGGTACTATTTCTGTGGAATTTAAAGCTGGCTTTATTGAGGTTTAAATACGAGTGCGCGAAGTGCGCGCTCCTCGGGGCGCAACGCCGGGTAAAAAAGGTTCCACCTGCTCAGCGCGTTTAGCCGAGCGCCTGCCAGCGATGGCTAGGCACTCGGGAAGCAAAACGGAGTAGATGCACACTTGTTGATCCTTGTCTATCACTCCTTCCGTCTAGTTCGACTACCTTACACGCATTAATAATCGCTTGTGATTGTGGCTTGTAAGAAGTAGTTGCATTGACTTGACTTGATTCTCATCGGTGCAGCACGTCGAACAGGAGGAAAACAAAATACTAATATTAGAATACTTTATAGCGCTAGGGGTGCCAGATCCATGATGGGATGGATCAGACGGAACGGATGGACTTCCCACCATTTCAAGTAGGACCGGAAGACTTAAGGGTGTCCATCTGATCCATCTAAGTCCATCCTACACCCGCTCTATAGATTATTGTTATTCTATTTTCCTTCTGTTCGACGTGCTCCCGCCATAATATCGGTTTTCAACTTCATTCTGAACATCATCCTTATCACCTCGTGATCTTCAATGAACAGGTTTAAAGCAAAACCTAACTCTGCGTGTGTTGGATTTGCAGAGTAATCCGGTGGGCTCTAACGGAAAGCACGAACTGGAAACCTTGATGAACGCCACTGGGCGCGAGATTGTGGTCCAAAACTACAATGTCCCTGCACCGACATCGCCGACCACGGAATGGCATGAATTGAGATGATTTGCCTATGCTTAGTGTTATGAAGTACGTACGCGCAGCTTTTAAAAAGAAAAAGTAGTATGTTCGTTGATATGCTGTGTGTTTTAAATGAGAATGTTGATATGCTGCCGCGTCTCTACTCGGGTCGCAACGGAATCAGGCAGCGAGAGTTGTCACGTGATTCGCAAATGAATGAATGAGTTGAGTTGTTGCACTCCTCTAACAACATCCAGATCCATCGTCGCAAGCAGATCAGCGTCCGAACCTCTGTTATATTTCAGAGGAGTATCTTTCGGTTCTGCCAGCATCAAAGACGCTTGAAGCGAAGAAACGTGGAGCTGCACTTCTGAAAAAGCAGGAAGAAGAAGATACTAACTACGATGATGATTTCGATGTGCCAGAAGATGAGGAGGACCTTGGTGTGACTGGAACTACAAGAAAGACTGCTTCCAAAGGATCTAGTTGTAATGATAGAGGTGGAAGGATGTCAACCACTGCACCATCCTCATCTAGTGGGGGTCGAACTAGTGGTGTGACTGCAGGCGCTCTTCTAGCTTTGGAATTTGGAACAGATACAGCAAGCGGATCTTGCAGTACTCTCTGGATGCGCTCGCGACCCAGCACTAGACCTTCTTCGCCAAGACGAGGGTCAACTTGTAGGCCGACGAGCGCGAAAAGCCGGTCTTCGGTCTTATTATTTTTTGAGGGTCATATTAATTTTTGAGGGTCTTATTACTTTTTGAGGGTCTTATTAATTTTTGAGGGTCTTGTTAATTTTTGGGGGTCTTATTGATTTTTGAGGGTCTTATTAATTTTTGAGGGTCTTATTAATTTTTGAGGGTCTTATTAATTTTTGGGGGTCTTATTGATTTTTGAGGGTTGGGTTTAGGGTTTAGGGTCTTATTAATTTTTGAGGGTCTTATTAATTTTTGGGGGTCTTATTGATTTTTGAGGGTTGGGTTTAGGGTTTAGGGTCTTATTAATTTTTGAGGGTCTTATTAATTTTTGGGGGTCTTATTAATTTTTGTTGGTCATGTATGGTTCAAGCCTCTCGGATGTCGTGTTGTTCGGTTCTCAGTGGCTCGCACAAAGCCTCGTGCTCGACTGTCATCGGGATGATCTCACAAGACATGAATGCCAATGATCGTGAATGCTACTTCCAATGCACACTCAATGCGCATTCAATGCATAATCATAATGATCAATGCGTAGACTAGGCACGTGTGTACTGATCCTAGTCGTATGATGCATGTTCAGTCCGATCCCTTCTGACATGCTTATTTTGATGATGTATGATTCATCTTACCCAATGAACCAAACAGGGACTACACCAGCCAGAGATCGCAAGTCTCAGGCAGGAGTATCAAGATTTGCTTGCGTTCAAGATTCTGACTTTGTGTTTCCGCTGAGAAACGAACCAAGGCGCGGAGGCCTGTGTTCTTGTGGTCCAGCACTGGTCTAACCCTTGAGCGGCAAAAGTAAAATAAATTGGAAGTAGTGTAGTAAAAATAAACAAATCCATCAAAATGTCCTGCGAGGCCAAGGAGATCCTCAAGAAGCTGGGACAGAAGTCCGACTGGCGCGAGTGGCAACGAGCCGTACGTCAAGAAGCTAGTCGCCTAGGCTTACTTGAGAACTACACGAATGTAGTCAACGTGCCGGCCGTTCCACATGGTGTGCCGCAAGGTAATACCAGTCGCGAAGACGTGACCCGCCAGAAGTGGCGCAACCTGAAAGACGTAATCATACGAAGTCTGAAAGGTGCGGCCAAGTCGTTTGTCGACAATCGGAATAACGATGGCGCGGTGAACAAAATGGATGCTGGTGAAGTTGTTGTTCTACTTCGTGACCAAGGCAGGGAACTTCAACGCGAACAATCGCCAGGAGCAGCGCACGAAGGTCAAGCCGTTGTCGGAGGGACTGATGAAGTTCCACAACAGCGACCAGCCTGCAGATGTCAAGGAGTTCCTCTCAAAGATCCGCGACATCATGAACCAATCGCCCACCGTCTTCCCGCCGGATGCAGATCTGCCCGACGCTGACCAACAGAACGGAGCGATCCTGCTGAAGTTGCCCGAGTTGTTCTGCAAGAACTTCAAAGCGACTATCGAGCGGATGCAAGAACAAGATGACCTGACATTTGACCAAATTGGAGACCGACTTGAGAAACGTCTCACAACGTTGATCGAGGAGGGAACCTACAAAATTGAGAACGACTCCTTCGGGAAAGCGTTTCCGGTCAATGTTCAGGAAACCTCGAACAAGCGTCCTCGTGATGATAAGAATGAGGATGATGACGAGGTAGAGGCCAATAAGGCAGATGGTAAGACCTTCATTTCCGCTAACGCCCTCAAGCGTTTCAAGCAGAAAGAAAAGAAGAAGGCAATCGCCGAGGTCTACAATTCCTACGGGTACCAACCCAAAGGAGGAAAGAACGGCGGACAAAAGCCGAAGAAAGATAAAGGAAAAAGAAAGAATACCTATCCACCCCGCTGTGCTTGCTGCCACAAGGTCGGACACAAGTCCTCCGAGTGCTGGCATAACACACAAGCCCTTCAACAGGGACAGGGAAGTTGGACTACCGGAGCCTCATCTAGTAGTTCTAGAGGCAAAGGCGGAAAGGGTAATAGCAGTGGAATGATCCACATGTCGCAGGTTGCGGAGATGCTCAACATCATGAACCCGCACAACCGAAGCTGAGCGACGGAACCGTACGAATTTGGGAAGTGTTCGCTGAATTTCGAAGAAGATGAAATAATAACAAATGCTGTTAATTATGCTGATAGCTACAATACAGATGGATATAGTTTCACAACATTGAACGCTAGAACATCAGAAGAAGCAACTCTAGTCGATAGTTGTGCAAACAAATATCTATCACGACACAAAGACGATTTCGATGAAATTGGTAACAACATCTGTAGAATAACAGGTAGTGCAGGTACTAAAGACGGAAAAGTCGGAAAACTCAAGAACAACATACTTGGACTAAAGAATGGAGTTTACTATGATTCTCTACCTGGAAACATAGATCGCATATTACCACGGTTAGGAGACGGAAACTGCTCGCAATTAGGGTGGGAGTTCAATTTCAGAGGCACTGGTGGTTGTATCGTGCACACGGACACCGGCCAGATGCTACCCATCAGAGCTCACCCACGCTCCCATCAGAGCTCGCCCACGCTTGCAGCTACCCGTACTCGCATGTAATTTCTTTGAAAACAAACATGAAACTGGTTTCACTTGCGCATCCATTGAAGAAGGTGTCTCTAGTTGCTATCTTACGAGATTAGAACTACACAGGAGATGTGGACACTTTCACATAGATGGTCTACAAGTTAGTTGCCCAGAATGTGACCTACATAAAGGACAACGAAAATCCCACGCAAACTCTAGAGATATGACCACCTACAAACCTGAACCCCTCAAACTACTTGCAATAGACTTTGCTGTAGGAATAAAACCTGTTTCAGTAAGATCTATGAGATGTGTTCTAGTTGTCATATGTGACGTAATTAAGAAGGCGTTTTGTCGACCGCTGAAGCTTAAAAGTGACTGTGTGGAGGAAATAGAACAAGTCATAAAAGGCATTCGACAGGACTACTCCTTATCGCTAGATGACAAGGTAGTATGGTTCATCCGGAGGGATGGCGAACCAGTCCTCGGTAGTGATGACATGACCAAACTCATGCAATCGCTGCGGGTCTCAGACAATCCGGCTGCTCCTTATAATCCGGAAATGAGTGGGACTGTTGAACGTTTTATGCGGGCCTTGTTTGGCAGCGTGAGAACAATGCTAACGAAGGTTGATCGACGTCTTTGGTGTTACTGTGTTGAGTACGCTAGTGACTGCTGGGATCGTCTTCCGCATAATTACGCTAAAATGCCAGAACACGATGGAAAGAGTCCAATAGAGATTCTAGAAGAAAGAACTGGTAGAAATTCTTCCAAAAGCAAAATCGGCATGCTCCGCCGATTTGGTTGTCTTGTTTACTTTCGTGAACAAATCCAAGCCAACACTCCTGAACCCAAGCTCTCGGCCAAATATCGCCGTGGCGTCTTCCTTGGACTCTGTCCGAAGTCGTCTGGTTGGTTGGTTGCTACTTTCGCTCATGACGATCGTTGCAAGCTTGGATATCGATGGGCGGAATACTCTACCCTAGATGTCAAGTTCAGAGAGGACTATCTAATAAAGGACATAGACTGGCTAACGCCAGATAGAAAGGGCTTTTACTATGAGTGCGATGAACTGGAAAACTTGCAGTGTGGAGCGTCGTCGCTGGGCTCCCCCTTGATTGGGCAGTCAGTGCAAAGGCTGGATCAGCAATCGGGGTTCTCTGGCACGGAGCGCGCCTCAGGTGGACCGACCGGCATTCCCGAAGAACTATATGCTGAAACCTTAGACAAGAAGGCTGAATCCGACGTGGCTGACTCTTCTGAAGGTGTTTCACTTGAGGAGGGGAAAGCTGAGACGAAGGATCGAGTCTCTGACTCACCTAGTCCGACTAGATCGAAAGCGCTATCTCCCGCACGTGTTGTGGCAGGCGAACGCCATACACACGGCAAGAAGCGTGGCCGACCGAAAGGAGCCAAGGACAAGGCTGGAGGAAGGATTCGTAGAACAAAGAAACAGATGGAAGAACTCAGAAAGAGTCTGGCGCTGTTCGCAAGTGCTATTGGTGGCACGTGTGAGATAGACGAAGATGAGGAAATCGTCGAATCACATGTGATGCTGTCCGTTGCCAATGCGTTAAAGAGTCCTGAAGCTGAAAAGTGGAAGGAAGTCATTGACATTGAGCACGCGAGACTACTAGCCTTTAAAACGTGGGAAGAAGCTACTGACGAGCAGCTAGCAACCGCGTTGCGGGCTCTACCAATTGCCATCATACTAACAAGAAAGAGATGTGGAAAATACAAGGCAAGAGCCTGCGCACTCGGTAACTTAGATCGTTCGGGAGAGCTAAACACCTTTGCTCCCGTGGTATCGCATGCCGCTAATAGGTTGCTCCTCACTTCTGCTGCGTCAGAAGGGGACTATGTGATCCCGTTCGATTTAGATTCAGCGTTCCTCAATGCCGAACTCGATCGAGATGTCTACTGCCGTCTTCCACCCATCTGGGCGAAACAGCATGGGTGCGAGATCGTGAAGCTCAAGAAAGCTCTATACGGCTTGAAGGACGCACCACGAGCATGGTTCAAGAGGTATCACGAGACTCTAGCCAGTCTTGGTTGGGAACCGTGTACTTCTGCGCCTGGATTGTGGCGCAAACCGAGCAGCAAAGCACCGGGGAAGTTCCTGAAGATGTCTGTCTATGTAGATGACAATCTTGCTACAGGTCCTGACCAAGATGAGCTCAAGACCGAACTAGACCTCATTTCCACACGTGCTCCAGGCCGTGCGATTGAAGTCGAGTCAATTCTAACCCCCTGGGGTCTCGAATGGCTAAAGTTCGAC